TTTTGAAGAGACTTGTCAGGAACAAAATGGAGGTCCAGGCCCTATACTGTTATACTGACACTGACAGCTTAAGAAAAAAGACCCTTTAACACCATGAAAGTCTGTGTGTGTGTGTGTGTGTGTGTGTGTGTGTGTGTGTGTGTGTGTGTGTGTGTGTGTGTGTGTGTGTGTGTGTGTGTGTGTGTGTGTTAAATATTAACCTCAATATATCATTCTCAAACTACTAGTTGAAGAATCCTGGAATAATTAGGTTAGAAAAAACATTACGTTCTGCATCCATGCTGCATCCAATCCTTCCTCCAATTCACTGGCATATCTCCACATGCATTTGTTTTTAAGTGCAAGAAAGAGGGCGAGAGCTCATAACTGAGAACTGAGAATTTTCCATCAGCCTTTTGCTCATCTCACCATCTGCCATTGCGAGAAAACATTAGCTCCTTCTGTGCTGGAAGATCAGCAGCCCTCCTCCTCTTCCTCCTCTTTCATTTTTTGTGCCATAAAGCAATCCAGCACACTTCCTGTGAAAGCTTAACCCGGTAGCACATGAAATGTAGCGGACAGGGCCAGTTGAAGCTGCCAATCGTCTTGGCGGGGATCTCTTTGTTTATGGCAATTATTTTAATTTATCAAAATTAATGGTGGTAATGATTTGTAAAAGTTGAAATGCTACACACAGGACCTTAAATATTTAGAAACACCCATTCTAATGACACTGAACACAGTCTTGTAAAATAGGTCAGCAATAAATAAAAGCAGCGATGAGAGCAAACTTAACCAAAATTGATGGACAGATGAACCTATAGAGGCATTCAAATATGTGTATCTTCACTTACAGCGAGATATTACATGTTTATCATTAACAATGTGGGTAACGTTGTGAGAAGAATTCCACTTGGTCAGCCACGAAGCCTTTATGAACTGCAGAGGCTAATGCCAATATGGAAATTAATTTTATTGGAAAACATGCCCTTTTCTTAACAACTCCAGAAACAATAGTGGTGTGATGTACTCAATATTAGGAGCAATTTCTAACCCTGTGGAGTTTATTTTTGCAACGTTCATGTTTACGCTCAGTGTCACTCAACAAAGGTCTAGGTTGAGCTCTTACAAACATGTTGAATGCATGTCCTTTCTCATAATACATTTGCAGAGCTGATTTTAAATCCTGCAGTGCTCGCATTTGTGTTTAGGGCTAGCATTCTTCTTCTTCACTGACGTTTTTGGTGCATTGCTGCATTTCTTTGCTAACCACATGTAAGTACAGGTCTTCTATGGTCTTGGACTCGTTGGTATTTGCACTTGGACTTGTCTGGGACTTGGCCATTGGTCTAGCCAGATATTCTAGTTGATCTTGACTGAGTCCAGTAATGTGTGTGTTTTTTTTCTGAAGTTACTTCCTCCATCCAACTAAATCCATTAATGAATGAATAAATGCTTTTTCAGAAAGGGGGTACTGGTTTAGTTTAAAATCCATCTACAACAAGGATTGACATTGGCAACTGATATTTATTGGCATCAGTGTCACTCATAATTGTATGCCTGGCTGTCAAAACTCATCTCATTGGCAATGGCAAAAGCTTTTTTTTTTAAACGGAAGAAATAGCCACCAACATATCACAGATATAAGAGAGTGATGATTAGTGAGTCATGATTTAGAGTTTGGAATGGGCAAAACCAACTATTTCAGACCATTTATGGACAATCTTCTAAAAATAAACCTTTTGGAGTTTTAAACTTGCCGCAGCAATGAATCCAGGTAGGTATGCACAAATTATGCACTATAATTTGATAATCTCTGTATTTTCTGTTTTCTCTTGCTCTTGTTGTCTAATAATCCTAAATTTTAAAAAAAAAAGGTAAAAACTGGATGTTTTTTAGTTTTCCCATGTAATTCAAAGGTTTTTATTGTAAGTTCCACATTGTTCCAACTGTTGTGATATACTGAAATTATCTTTTTATTTTGATACCCATTTCTTCATCAAAAGTACATCAATTAAATGTCCATTGCACAACTTTACTGAACAAATTACCAAAAAGAAATGTAAACTCCCCTATCTGGTTTAGTTTGGCTTGAGTAACAGAGGAAGTAATCTTGTCATTTCACTTTTATATCTTGCTCTTCCTCCCCCTTATCTGCCTTTTCTAATGTGCATAGCTGGTTGATTAATCCTCCACAAGTGAGACACTCAGTGGGAGACAGATATGTGGGAGGAGATTGGAGAGGGAATGGGGGGTTAGGATGAGGTCTTGCCTGGTTCCCCACAGCGTCCTCTTTGAGATGAGGTGGGTAGGTGGGTTTAGCACTCAAACACTTGATGCTTCCCTCCCACATTCGGTCGAAGACGAGTCACCATGGCAATCCGGCAGTCTGATTGGTGCATGATGGCAGAAGAGAAACAGACAGAGAGGGAAATATGTCCTGTGGAGAGCCTCATTGAGTGGCAGTGCAATGGAGCAAACACACCTTCAAGAGACTGTTTTATCAATAAAGCAGCTGAAGAAACAAACACACTCTTCTCATCTGTTTGTGGGCTTATTCTCAAATTCCTGTCAAATCTATTTGTAACTGCGCCGAGTATAACATAACAGGTTAATGCTATTATCTGTGTAGAGTTTAATACTTATCAATGTTTGTGGTTTCTGCCATTTCACACTAGGAGCTGACAAGTCAAGGGAATAGCAGGTAACCAACTGTTTATCACTTATTAAATATTCAGCAAAACATTAGGAACGCTGACCTAGAGACTATTCAACTTTTTTTTTTTTTATGGAGGGTCAAGTACATGAAGGTTATTTATTAATTTGTCCATATCTGAAGCTTTCTAGGTTAGAAATTTTATTCAGGGACCTTTTCACAAGAAATGATCACTGAAGCTTACAGTGATCATTTAAAATGTCTAATCTTAGACAGACCAAAGAAAGACCATAACTATTTGAATTTCGTAAGCAGAATTTATTAATACTGAAAAATAAATACCAGTGAATTTACAGCATTGAAATATTTTGCTGTGGAAACCATCTATCTGAATGTAAGAGTTTGGACTTCCATGTGCAAAAATGTTTTATTCTTCACCTGAACACCCCTTTCTTGAACAGAACATAACCTAATTGGTCCAATTTTAATAAATTATTTGTAAAATTGAAAGCTATTTACAGCTATTCACAAAAAAAATCGATCCCTGAGCCTACAGCTTCTCTTGGCAATATTTATCTTGGTAAAATGGGTTTTATTGCCATGTTTATAGTGTGAACAAAATAACATATTATCAATTCATTTATCCATCTACAATAAAAAAATTCAAACAATCCTCCTCTACACATCCATTATTCCAAGGGAACTATGTTGAAGATTTCGATTTGATTATGTGAAATAAGCAGCTGTAGTATTCAGTTGGAGTCAAAACTCATGAACACAGACTTGCCCTGTACATGGGGTGGTGAGGCTATTTAATAGCCAGAATGTTGGGTGTTTGACCCTTGACACTGACAGACATTTCAATCATGGTACCCACCATCAATGTCACTGTGTCCTTGAGTAAATGTCTGAAACCCTAAATCGTTTATTTTATGCAGTTACCACAATGTGTGACACTGTCTGTGTTTCTCTCTTACTATTCTGATCACACATAGTTGTAATTATACCAGCAGCATAAGACAGTCTTTGGCTCAAGTTCATAGAGAATTAGAAAACCAAAACACAACGTGAGTGTTTTCCATGGAAACAAGGCTCAAATCATGTCTTACCTGCTATTACGCTACAAAAATAGCCTACAGAATGCTGACTGCAATAACAGAGAATTTTGAAATTTCTCTCAATGGGAGCATTTCCATGGATGTCCTTGAGGCAGGTCCAGTAACAGTGTTAAAATGTTCCCGGAATGGCAGGAAACATGCGTCATACTCTTCATCCAATCAGGTGTTTTCATGGATTTCCCCCCCCCCAACATTTAATATAGTTTGATAGGGCTGGTGTCTTCAAGGCAGTTATTGCAGCCTCTCCTATTTTCTGATTTGTTTTTCTGAGAATATCCATATCATGGCAGTGTTTAATTCTTTTTATGCGTCATTGATTTATGGCCAACCCATCAAAAGGTCCCAGCTGGGTGATCAATTACCCCTGCACTCAAAACACTAGCCTGCATAGCTGCCACTAGAAACTGTCTAGCCTGAATCCAGGGGTGGGTTTATAAACTTGAATTGGGAGAGAGGGCAGACTGCACTGTCTTAAAGAAGGGTACATTTTTAAAATGAATACAAATCTAATACTCGTATTTAAAGCCCTAGTTCTTGGCAATAATAAGCTCTCTGGTTCATCGTTTATCCAGTGTGACAAATGAATACAAAATCACTTTAAATATTCTAATAGGAAGTAATATCAATAGATAGCTGCTGATTGTAACTCCAAATATCCTGTCATGGACACATAATGATACAACAGGTGCCTAGCTACACATGTTTAAAAGGCCACCGACCCTTCCTAAAAGACTATGGGTCTGTTTGTGGTCTGTTTTTGGTCTGTTTTGCATCTCTTTGTAGTTGTTGTGGGTCTCTTTGTGGTCATTTTGTGGATGTTGTGCATCTCTTTGTTGCGATATTGCATCTTTGTGGTCGTTTTCCCTCTTCCCGAAAGCAACTACAAACACTACGGCTGCAACGTTTGTGTCTCTTTGTGGTAGTTTTGCATCTCTTTGTAGTTGTTGTGGGTCTCTTTGTGGTCATTTTGTGGATGTTTTTCATCAGTTTCTGGTTGTTTTGCATCTCTTAGTGATCCTTTTGCATCTCTTTGTAGCTGTTTGAAAGACTAACAATAAATGTTGACAGTTGTTTAATACAGACTCTGTCCACCCCCTGCCTTGATCACAACAATCTCGTTGAGATTTAATTAGAGCAGCTCCTAGTATTCAGACTGAGAAGGTTGTTTGGGTGCAGATATAATGTTGTAATGGGCTTTAGTTGAGCCTTTGTTTTGAGCCCATTGATGGCCTGAGGCGGGTTTTTGGTCGCTGTCCGTGGTTCTGAAAGTAAACAGGAATGCCTGTGGACACAGAGGCCATAACAGATCACTTCCATGGGAATATAGCTGCTTTTTGGACTAACATGCCACAGCAGGATACAGCTTGACTAACCAGCGTTTTTGGATATCTGTAGAGCACATGCGGGAATTCAGATGTTAAACTTTTGACTAAACGTGAGTCACACTCATCATGGGAACCGACTCAGCGCCTCACAAATTGCACCCAGCAGGGAACCGGACCTTGTGCCTTTAGGAGCGCAGGCGCAAATGTCAGACAGTTTTATGGCAGAGTTTTGCTTCTGGAAGTACAACGAATGCGACGCACAGACACATTAGGTGATTTTCCAATCAGTTCAACATCCCAGTGTTGAGAATTGAACAAATCTATCTCTCTCCTCCGGCCACATTTGTAGACTAAACTGTTGTGTCACTTTTGTTTCCTCTGTCTGATGAGGTGCGAATCCCGAAGGAACTGACACCATCCTCCTCCACCTCCTCCTCTTCCACCTCGTTGTGGTGCCGCAGCAGCAGACAACGCGGCGAGTGCGTCCTGCAGCAGCAGCAACAACAGCAGCAGCAACGGCACCTGTCGTTTTCAGGACGAGCTGATACACGATTTAGGAGTAAAAGAAAGGTGTTCTCCGAAACAATTCCCAGCCACCAACACCGCGGGGTTCCGTGAATACCGATGGCTTCATGTGTAGATATTTGCGCCTCTCAAAATTACGCATCGGTAAGTTCCTTTTGACTTGTTTTCCACGCCGAGTGCTGCGCGCTTTTACTCACATCTCTGGCATTTCGCTGCGGCTGATCAATTTAAGAAGCATTTCACCGAACCCGAGGGTAGCCTTGTATGTCGAAAAAAACATAGGCTACTTCTTCTTAAATGACAGCAGGGGGGGGGTGCATTTCGAGTGAGAGTGTTCAGTGAATAAGCGGTGCTTTTTCCTGCTGATGTTTTTTCTTGTGCAAAGCGAAGGTCACCCACATGCATTGGTGAATTAAAGGTTTTACGAATGCGGGAATAAAAGGGAGAGAGGCTTGGATAAATTAACCCATTGATTCTGCATCACCAAGGGAAAAATGATTTGTCCCTGATTGGTTTTAATAAGACAGTTAGCCATTTTTTCTCTCCCTCCGATATGCCCATAACCCGTTTGACATTTTGCTTAAGATTTAAAAAATAAGAAAAGAAGCGGTAGAGAACAGTTGTTTCTGTAATGTATCCTATATATCCTGTATGATAAGGGTACAGGAACATTAGCTGAACATGACAAAGCTGCCAAGAACTAATGATTTTGAATGGCTGCGTTGTAGCACACTGACAGACATGCAGTCCCCTGTCACAGACATTGACAGACTAGTATGTGGGTTAAATGAAAGCGTCCCCCTGTCTTACTGGGGTCGTTTCAAACTGAAAATGAATTATTAATGCACCACGATGTTCACAGGAATTCAACACACATGAGGAGGAAGCTAATGTGTTGAGACAGATCTTTGAAATTCCCATTGCAATCGGAATAAATCATCAGGGAGGGTGCACAGCCCTTTCTCTCTTGTTTTTCTCTGTCTGTATCTGCATCTGTAGATACACACACACACACACACACACACACACACACACACACCTACACACACTCACACACACACACACACACACACACACACACACACACACACACACACACTTGCAGTTGTGGGGTTGATTGACAACCTAGTGGTCCCTGTGCTAATTATAGCCAATGTGGTTCCCAATTCTTCCTTTCAACAGTTAGTTCATTTTCTTTTTAGGGTGTTTCTTGCCAGTTTTGGATCAAGTTCAGTGCCTTACATTTGATTCAACCATGATTTATGACTGGAAATCCTCATGAAAACTGTTCCATCCTGTTCTGTAGTGTGTCTTGTCTTACTGGGATACTTTGAGAAAATACACAGTGCAATCGGTGCTTTCTGTAAACCCTCTATTTTCATAGGTACTGGACTAAACGCAATTTGATTTTTCCTCACTATAAAGCTCCACAGATTTCTAAGTGACTCACATGCATCCAGTGCTGAGCAAAGCAAAGACTCTATTGCTTTCTTGCCCTCAGGATAGTTTGATGTTTAGCCCTTATGCTGTTCCCTGCACCATTGCTTCCTCAACACCAAAGCCATATGGATTTGTTCTAAATACCAAGCTCTGTTTTTTAACTTCATTTAAAGCCTCCAGCAACATGGATGCTGTGACATTTTGGGTTAAGGAGATGGAGAGAAATTGGTCCACGTCTGCCAAGTTGTCATTGTGTTTCTCTCTGCGTCTTTCTTGTGTGTTTTTCTGTTCAAATGTGCATCCCGACAGTTTAGTTTCAGCCCTGCTTGACACATGTTAGCCCTCGTCTATATCTCCAGGTTTTTCCTCTGAGCACGGTCTGTCCTATTACTTGATAAAGCATCTGAGAGATGCTTTAGAGGTAATTGGATTCGGTACTAGAGAGAAGGAACACAGAGCGGAATTTGTCTGTGTGTGTGCCTGAATTAGCTTAGGGTGAAGACGTGTGTGTGCGGTTTCTTTGATTGTATGTGTGTTATGTGTCTCTGCTGGCCAGTGTGCTTTGTGTTTGCAGTGAATCATTGTGTTTTCAGGAAGCTGTGTGGATGAGTAAGACATGAAGGGAGGAGGTTTTTATCTGCACATAAATTGTATTCTCTTAAAAGAAATTTATGCGTTCCTTCCGATTTTTTTTTACCTTCGGTAATCAACTTGTCCTTCATGAATCTATGCCTTTCTTTCAAGTTTCTGCTTTAATTTAAGATTCAGGTGATGACATATCTTCACCAACCAAAATGTTGCCTCTGTGAATTGATCAAGGTTTTTTTTTTATGAGTATGAGATTCTGTTGGGATGAGATATGAAGTGATACATACCCACTGAAGTGGTGTAACATACAGTATATATCAATTTTCTGAAATAAAACTTTATTTATTTAATTAAAATCCAGCTTTTAATCAAATTGTTTGCACTTCTTTTTTTTGTAAGGCTGCAGGCTTTTCTTAATCAATTGATTTGTTTGGTCAATAAAATGTCAGAAAATTGTGAGAAATGCTCACCACAATTTACAAACTCCCAATTTACTGTCATCATGTTGCTTATTTTGTCCGACTACAGCTCCCAACCTACAGATACTCATTTTACTGTTACATAAGCCAATGAAAAGCAGCAATTTCTTACAATTACTTAAACAATTATTTGAAGATCAAAATAGTTGTGTACAGTCTAGACCTGCTTTAAATGAAAAGTGTCTTATTTTGATTTTGTGCAATACAAACAAAAATACAAAACTTAATTGAATTGAAAAATGGACTAATCAGTTAAACAATTGATTGTTTCAGCCCCAGTTTTATTAAATTTACTGTGGCTTCTTTTTCACCAGTTTTACCAGTTTGACATTTCAAAAGCACTCTATTTGAGACATGGTTATTTAAAGGTTAACCATGATCATTAGTGATGCCTGAAAGTAGCAGGGTACCACAATAAATGTACTTATTTATTCACATTGTTGTCCTCAACATGTCTGTAAGGCAAGGCAAGTTTATTTGTATAGCAAATAAGAAGAAAGTGCTGTATATAAGAAATTAAAAGGCCCAAGGCAGAGGACAGAGTAGAATAGAAGATTAAAGATAGAACTCTTCTCTGTTTTTTAAATGACCACTTGAAGTTGAAGAGATTTACTGACAAAATATAAAGTTACAGGTTGTTTTTCGTTCCACAGACGCACTGACTGAAAGCTAGTTGTGTAGTGGGAGAAGCTATTTTGGGTGTTTTTCTCATAGACTATGTTACGTGACTTACAACTGGAGCAATGTTTGGATCAACATACCTCAACCCTCCTAATGAAATATCAGTGCAAAAAAAGAAAATGCACAGCTGGGTCAGGAAAAAAAGCTAAAGATCCAAACCTCTGTACATAAAAGCTAGAAGTTAGCTACAACTCCCATGGTGCATTTGAGCAAGAAACAGTTTAAAGTGGTGTGACAGCGGGTGGAAGCTAAAGATTATGGTGTTGATAAAACTGAAATTAAATGAATTCAGACTTAAATTCTGGATGAGTTCAGCAACTATGACGCCGCGTTTTGTTCTCAACTGCCCCGATGCAGCTGTTTTAATTTCACTACCGCGTCTCTGACTGGTTGATTCTCCATGGCAACGGTTGCGGAGGCTCATGGGTATTAAAGTATTTTGAGCCATCCGCGCAATTTCTTAGAAACAAAGTTTGAAAAGCATGTGACATAATGCAGCAGATTCTTGTTAGCAGCAACAATTATTCTATAATCAAGCTTCCAAAACACATTATAATATCAACTAATTGTAAAGAACTGAAGCTCGGCTTATTGCTTTTCTTATGACTCTTACTAATGGAACAAAATAATAGAGCGAAATAACACAGTGATTACGCTCTGTTGTTATGTTGTTATTGTTTGTTCTATTACAGCCTTTTTCCTCTGTGTGTTGTATTTCAGAGCCCTTGATGCTCAAGTGTGGTGACGCTGAGGGGAGCAATTTCAGTGCATCCCTGTGAACACACACAGCCAGACAGACAGACACACACACACACACACACACACACACACACACACACACACACACACACACACACACAAACACACATATTGTGGAGACTTTTGGATACAAGTGCTTCACAGGAGACAATGAGAGGCTACCTGCTGACTGCCATCTTTCTGCTGCCCTTGGTGAGTAGTTTGTGTGCATGCATCTCTGTACAGTACACATGTGTAGGTGTGTGTGAGCATACAGGAATGCGTAACAGGAATGTTGAAGCATGTATCCATGTACGGGATTGGGGGTGTACATGGGTCTTCGTCATCTTTCTCCTCAGCTTTCAGATTTTGATTTTCATAAGTACACTCTTGAGGGTGTGTTTGTGACAGATGCTGGAAGCATGGAAATATCCATATGCAGCATCAGCACATCAGCATACGTTACAGGTCCTGGATCAGCTGTTTTAAGGCGACTGGTTGCCTGTTAGAACAATAACAGATGGCCCGGCTGACCGAAGAGCTGCCTATCCATCTGCTGTGACTCACTTTTATAAGCGGGTCTCATTGAAATAAAAAGCAGAATGGAAGAGTTGTGCAAGATGTGTGGGAGGAAATATATTCAGCACACTGATGCAGCACAGCAGCAGTTTCCTTGGTGAAGCTACACAGATACAGAGATTGTTTTTTGGTTTATGTGAAAATAAATCATCCTGGGTATCATCCGATATCTAGGATTTTGATGCTTATGTGCTACCATTTTATAATTACCAGTAAAAATAGTAATAGTAGCAGTATTAGGGAGGTTAAAATTAAATCACAATGCCATATTTTCTAACCTTTCAGTTAACACTGCCCCCTAGCATATGTGAAGTGTTTGTCCAGCATCTTTGCACAGTCTCAAGCTGACCTTCTGCGGCTGATGTGGCAGATCAACTGTTGTGATGCACTTACAATATTGCGTGTCAAATGGGTCTGTACAGTGGGCCAGTGGTCTGCGATGTCAAATTGGAGTTTTATTATCTGTGCTGTGCGGTGCTGTGGGGAGCTCCTGAGTTATCTGGTCCTCCAAAATAGCCTTGGGGAGGGAAACGTGGTTCTGCAGCTTCAAAATGGGCGGCTTATCTGGACATACATCTGTCGAAGGGAGAGGAGAGGAGAGGAGAGGAGAGGAGAGGAGAGGAGGGACTGGCGAAGGCGAAAGAGATGCACACTTTCATTGCCCTATGTTGTCATGGTGCCTGTTTGAGGTTAGAGCTTTTAAACCCTCAGCAGTCCTCAGTTAACCTGGGTTGAACCATCTCTTGGTAAACCATTAATAAATTGGTGTGTCAAGTCTTTCCTAATTTTCAGTTTTTACTTGCTAATTTCCAACTAGGGATTTGAGTAAATGTTGCACCATTAAAATCGGAATAATTTGACATTTTGGTAAATATGCTTTTTTGCCTTCTGGCAGAGACTTGGATGACACAATTAATACCACTCTCATATCTGTTAGCCTAGCTTAATGACTAGAAACAGGATCAAACAGCTAGCCTGGCTCTGTCCAAACCTTATATACTCTCAACGGTCCAAATGTAACAAAGTCGGCCTATCAACACCTCTAAAGCTCGCTAATCAAGACGCTATGTATTTTGGTTAGAAAGTAATAATTATAATAACAATTATAACTTTATTTGTATAGCACTTTGCCTAAACAAGATTACAAAGTGCTTGACAAAATAAATGAGATAACAAAACAACAAAATGACAGTTGGCCGCAAATGTGCGGAATTATTTCTTGGTTGAGAACATAAAAAATATGGACGTCGCATCTCCACTTCCTCCCACTGTACAGAAATGAAGTCAAAATATATCACTCTATGACAGAGACTGTGCAGTAGTGATCAGGGTTAGCGCCACGGTATCGAAGTCCCGCCCATACACATGGCAGACTCAATGGCGAGCAGGGCTCAGCTGTCAATCATGATGTGAAACCCCCTTTTCATAGCTTTCATAACACCCTCATAAAACAGCAAACTGTGATTTTTACACTTTAATTTTAAAGTAAACTAATTAAACTAATGAGATATTACGTGTTAATTAGTAAGCTGTCAGATTTTGTTTTGTTGACAGAGCCACCCGTTTCCCTGTTTAGATTCTTAAGCTAAGCTAGGCTAACCTCCAATCATGAGAGTGGTATTGATCTTCTCATCGAACTCTTGGCAACAAAGCCCAAAAGTGCTTTTCTCAAAATGTCAAACTATTCTACTGCTTTAATAAATGTCTCTAGAAGCCAATCCTATGTAAATGAATGTCTTGGTGTTATATGTAGAGAAATGTTGTTTCTAAGTTAGTACTAATCATGCAGTTTAGAATGAGTATAAAAGGTTACACAATCAGATATTTCACAAACTAAAAGTCTATATAGTATAACGTAAGGTAGTCATATGGTCAGATGTTGTTGGCGTAACTTTTTGTAATGCAGTATATCACAATGTTTGTGTGACATGTAATTGATATGTTTCCAGTTTAGTTCATCATTATTAAAATGCATTTGATCTGAACATTCACTTTGTTGGAATAGCTGTTAGATACGCAGTTGCAGTTACTGGCTGCAGACATTTATTAGCAAAGAAATAGCTCTTGTGGCGCAACCTGTTTTAACACATTAACACAAAACACCTCAGCCAGTTTTGAACTTACTAAGAGCTGGTGTAACCCACTCCAGAGGATTGTGTGTGTGTTTGTGTGTTTGCTTGTCTGTTAACTATCCAAATCAATTTCATGATCCTTCAGTGTGGGAGGTGTGTGACAGAGCACAGCAGGAGATGTGAAACGATCATACAGCTAAGAACAACAGCACATACACACTTCTTTACAACAGCTGCTCCCTCTTTAGGAATGTGTGTGTGTTTGTGTGTGGTAGATGGAGGTGTAAATGCAGAATTATAGTAAAATAAAAACCAAATACCAATCCAGCACAGTATCATGCCCTGCTATCCAGGATTTTATATAAATAAATTAATGAATAACACATTTAAATCTGTCATCTTACATGCCTGTTTGCACTCATGCCAAACAGATATTAGTCATCTGCATCCAATTATTTCTCATTTCTGGGAAGCCTTGCCCACAACATGTATTGGCTCCTAGCTGGTTACCTGCTGCTTAGCAACATGGATGCGTGCTACGGATGAGGTCTTCCTTTCATACAGAGCCAGTGTCGGTTTTGATATCAAACACTATTGACAACATGAAAAAGTTCTTTAATATATTTTTGTTTTGTTTTTTGTTTAGGTGAAAAATGGAAAACCCTGTAGAATTGCACTCAAAACTAGATGGAAGATTGTTCCAATGATGTTTCACATAATTCATGCAGTGTTTTAAAATTCTGCCCACGTGGAGCACGATAAAGAAAGGAAGTGAATCCTAGGATGTCTTCACAGTCGGTTGATGCCCTATCTTATCTAGGCAGCGAGGCCTGACGTGAATTCATATCGGAGGACAGAGGTAGAGTGATGAGTCAGCCATGGCTCAGAGGGCTAGGACATATTACACCTATCATTTCACAGTGAGAGAGAAGGAAGGGGTGCAAGAAAGCTAAGGGTGCAAAGCAGAGATTGGCCTTAAGAGAGTGAGGGGAGAGTTATAGAGACATACAGTAACTACAGTACTACCTCTGGGTAAAGTTTCCCTGCCTGCACTTTGGAACCAGACTTTAGTTACTCCACTATGTTCTCTTCCTCGGCCGCTTATAGTTGCAGTGAAATGGCATTTAGAGCATCTTTAGCTTTAGTACTTGACGTATTTCCAAGTGAGGCGGAATATGGAGGTGGGATACAAATTTAAAAGGGATCAGAAGAAATTGCTCAGGGATTTGATTTAATTGCTCAAAAGTTGATGTGAAGTTCTGGAGAACCACACTTTAGAGCCTCCACTTACAACTACCTCATCCACCGCCTTGTTAAATCAGGACACGCAGAACAAGAAAGATAAAATTAAAAGTTAAAAAAATAACTTTCTGCCAATATAATGACGCAGACACCTTCGACCCATGATATTGCTTTGCATTGCTACTGCAACCCACAATCTAGAGGATGAGTCATCAAAAATATTTTAACATTTTACAGGAAGAGAAAAAAAAAGAATTTAGTATTAAAAAAGACGGCTATTTGACCAATATTTGACACATGCAAACAGATAGTAACAATTCTTTCAGAGACAAGAAATACAGTGCATTCATTTTATTTTACCCAATGCATTGACATATTATAGCTCTATAAAGTTATGTTATGATATAAATGTGTTAGCAAACAGTTTCTGATTTACATATAGACACATTAGCATTTGTCATATTTCTGGCCACCTGAGAAACATTCACCTCCTTTTAATTACCAGTGTGTAACATTTTGGAGGATTGGCAGAAATGGAACGTGTATTATCATCTGAAAATAAGAGTCATTGTGTTTTCATTACCTTAGAGTGAGTTTAAGGAGTCTGCCATGTTGAATAGGTCGTTTTTCAGGAGTTTCGTGGTCACTGTAGTTTCTCAGCCCGTTCTCATTCCCAGGTTGTCAAATACACATGCGAGCAGTGTTCAGTTAGTTGCAACCTGTAACTTCACCACTAGATGCCACTAAATCCTACACACTTCCCCTTTAACTGTTTTGGTCTCCACCAGCTCCTGAGGGAAATACTTGTCTCTTTGCTAAATTTTCCACTATGTTCAGCTGGAAATGAAGCCGAGCACAGTGAGTTGCCGGCTGTGGAACCCATTTGAAGTTTTATTGGCCACTGTAACTACCAGACATCACCTTTTTCCAACAAAGCTCTGCCCACTTCAAATCAATGAGAACACAAATAAAAATATATTTTAACCAGTATCATGGCAGATATTACATGTGTTGTACCCCCTTGGCATGAGCAAGAAGCTGGTTAAGAAAAAGTCCTTCAACACTCTTCTCTATGGTACAGTGTATCAGTATGGTCATTTTGTATTTTGTTTTTGTTTATTTACTCCAGGTGGCCTCAGAGTCCGAGCACTGTATAATCAAGCGTGAACATGAGATATGCATGGAGAGGATCATGCTGCACAACCCCAGCGATGACCTTGAATTAGGTAAGTGAGGATGTGTGAGTGTGTGAGTATGGGTATGCATGTGTGTGTCTGTTCCCGCATCCTTCTGTGTGCATAATTTGGCATGAAGCCACCGGTTTTAATGCCTCTGCTGTGATTGAATGGTTTACGTCTTTGGTTCTTCAGAAAATACAGAACTGCTGATGAAAGTCATGTATCTCCTAAAAAAAACTAACTTTCCGGGAACAGATACAAAAAAAACAAAAACAGGCTTGTTTTTATACTCACCGATCTGGCATTTTTCAGTTTATACAATCAGTTTTGAAAACGTCATAGAGGGATGTAAGAATGAATGATGAGTGCAGTTTTATTACAAATACATCTCCCTGAAAGGCAGCTCGCTATACAGCACAAATAATCATCCGGTGATATATACAGTTCACAAACCAAATGTCTGCCTGTAATGTCACACTGAGCTGCTTTCACATTTTTCCCACATGTCCTTTTTCCAAAAACACAGGAAGCTTGGTATGTGAGTCCTGGAAGCAATTATTTTCTTGGCTACGGACTGTGGGTTTTCATTAGCAACTGCTGCAGGCCTCCCGCTGCTCAAAAGTTGTCCAACAGACTGCATCTCCCAGACTGCACTGTGACTCACGGCTTCGCTGACAGCCACCGGGTCCTTGAAAAAAACATGAAACATAAAAGATTTAGAGTGTAAGATAACAAGTTTAATGAGGAGGAGAGCTGTAAGTTCAGCTCGTATTTCATCCGTACATCTTGAAGGTCGGGTTGCTGCTAGATTTAAAGAGCACATGCGGTTTTCTTTGTAAGTTTTGTATTTTTAAATCTTTATTTACAACGTCTCATGCTCAGATGAAGGTTAGACCACAGGTTTCATTTATAAATGAGAATTTGTTCACCCTTTTCACCCCTATAGTTCAAAATCAAGCAGTCTCTTATTCTCTCTGCATTGAGCTATCCATTTTCAAACCATGTAGTCACACGTGTTGACCTTCCTCGACCCTTTAACTGATCCTTGCTTCCGTCTGTCCCTTTCAAAAGGAACCATTCTGTGTTTCTGCTGACAGCAAATCGTTGCAGAGGAAATAAAAAAGCCTGGTTTGCAGAAATCTGACTTGGGGCTTTAGAAAAAGTAAAAAAGGGGAAAAAGAAAAATGAGAACAGGGAACCAATAAGTAAAAAGGAAAGGAGATATGTGGTGGTCTGTTCTTTTTTCTGATTTATTAAGATCCATTTCTAAAAGCATATTTCATGATTTATTTGTTATTATATTTTTAATTGAGGTACTCTGGCCTCAGTTTAGACTGCAGGCCGTGTGAAATTGCTACATAATGATTTGCTGTCTGGTGCAATAATCACCGTCAAGCTGAATTTAGCCAGTGCAAAATGAATAGTTAACATTAATTAGCCTGCACAGTGTTTATTATTTCAGAACTACATCATCTTCATTCAACAGTTTATCTAAAGCTGAATGAGAATGAATTTTATTGAATTTAGTGACATTTTAAATGAATTTGGACACCTAAACACAACGAAGTACAATTATACACCCTTGTAGAGTGTTTTAAATTTAGAAAACTAATTTGTTTGTTGATACATTAATTGACAGAAAGTTTATCTGCAGCTATTTGTCATTTTTCAAGCAAATCTCTAGTTTTTACAATGTGACAATCTGATGCTTTTCCCTGTTTTATATTATTGAGAATAGTTGTTCCACTATTTTCATTTCATCATCGTCCACATTTTGTAGACCAAACAATTAATCAATTAATCAAATAAAGAGTCAGAAGACAGAGTAATGAAAATAGTTTCAGCCCTATAAATTTGTTTGACATGTTTGTCCTCTTTTAGCCATATAACATTCTCAAAAGAGCAATGGATCACACTTAGATCTCTCCAAGAGCTTCATGACATATTTTTCCTTTCATACCAGTGTTTAAAGTTTAATAAGAAATGATGAATGAATGCTTTTGGCTGAGTATGCCACTACAGTCGCACCCCATGACTCAGAAGACAAAAAACAAATCTCACCCAGTTGTTCAATAAGATCAGATTTAATAAGAAAAAATGTATGTCAGTGTGTGTTCACGTACTCTATACTATGCATGTGCAGTATATGTGTGGATACTATGCAGCCTAGTGAAGATTCAGTAAACTGTGGGATTTTGTGTGAGCTAGCCAGTGATGCAGACAGAGTGCTTTATTAAGCCGGTTACCTCTGTAGCTCAGTGCGGCTCATTTGGCTCAGATTTGCCCTTTAAAAGGTAATTGGCTTCGTGTCCGGCTCACCAGACAGAACCAAAACAGATTAGAGAGCCAAACAGAATAGAGAAAGGTCTGCACACACACACACACACACACACACACACACACACACACACACACACACACACACACACACGTCCAGGAACACACACAGATGCATCCACAAAAACACATTCAAAATGCATGCGAGCGAACGCACATACAATCAGATTGTACCTGCCTCTGCAGCACTATAAAACCACCCAAGCATAAACAACGTGGTAAACCTAGAGAGATGCAGAAAGAGAAAGGGGAGGTGCTAAATATAAAGGACATGGAAGCAGAAAGAAAGAGAGGCCCGAGAAATCGAAGCAGTACTGGGAGCAGTACTGAAAATACAGGATGTGTGATTTTATAGTGAGCATGAGTCAGGTAATGAGTGAGGCAGATGAATGGAAGGAGATCAAAACAAAAGAAAAACAGAAGATGGAACTGGGTTAAGTAAGATTTAATTTCTGCTTGTTTGTGATACCAGATGGGTAGATAGTATCAGATTAAATTGACAAAAACATGGATGAAATCGACCGTCAGATGCACTGCAGTGATTTGCTAAACCCTCAAGTAATTGTCAAACACACCAGCCCTGCAATAAATCCTACATCCATGAACGTTATGTTCAGTTTCTGTTACAGAGAGGTTTTGAATCAACTTGATTATCATTTTGGAGGTTTGGTCATGTAAAATCAAAAACAGGGTAAACCAATAAGTTCACATAAGTAAATGTCGGTAGTTTTATTTTAGTTCCAGTCTGTTAAACAGGATCAGCCATACTCTGTCTACAGTGGGTTTTTTTTTTTCCATTGTTGGTGTGATCTGGTTGTGGTGTTGTTGGGGATATGGGATAGATCAGCTGCTGAATCAGAGAGAGCAGCAACATGTTTGCCTCATTAGGTCTTTTTTCTATTGATGTGAATTAATGCCACCTTCACCGAAGAAGAACAGTACACATAAATTAAAGCGGCATAATTCTATCTCTAATATTGTTGTTATAACAATGTTTCAAATGACAATGTGAAAGCTTGTGATGAACCTATAGAAATGTATCACTTAAATCTGCAGTTCCTCTCAGCTTTATGGAGCTATATAGTGAGTTTCAGCTCATTGTTTAGCAGTCTGGCCCACAACTTTTCTGTTTGGTTCGGTCTCAGTGCTCTTATAGAGTCGTTTTCCGCTGCAGCAGATAGGGGCTTCTAAAAAGACATGTGCCCCTTACTTTTATAGCTTTCTTCTTATTGTAAAACAGAAAGTGCTTTTTGAAACTTTTTTGCCCTTGCTTTTGTTTCTCAGGCTTCAACACAGGCTGCTGGGTGCAACTTAAAAGCAATCTCTGCAGACCTTACTCAAGGCTGAAAAAGGCACTAACAACTTCGGGGCAAACTCACAAAAGAATTATGCTACTTTTGCGGCTGCTAAACTTTCACAAATAAGACAAAAAAATCATGCTCCTCTTACTGCGCTGCCAAGAAAATAGCGTCTCGGTGCTCCAGTACTTTTTGGAACATTTATGCACATTTATGAGGGGTGCCATGCCCTGACATGATTCCAGTGATGATGACAGCAGTGACTGTAGCCTGGTGAAGAAATCACAGTAATCATCAATAATATATGCACAGATGGCACAGACACCACAAACCTGATATTCACTATGAGGGAATGAAACTGGAAAACAACATAAAACCTATTGCTGTGAGAAATGGAAACAACGGTTACGCGCTGGAGAGGAAACAGCTCTCCATGTGCCCAGAGGCATGAGGGAGAGTGCACAGTTAAAGTGCCCCAAATAACAACGACTGTGACAAAACACACCACAAAGCTTGTGTCATAGTAAAACGAGAGACATCCCACAGACAGAAATGAATGAAAGAGCAGGGCAGATAATATATAATCAGAATATATATATATATATATATATATATATATATATATATAATAAGTTCTCTTTCAAATCAAACATTTTAGAATATGAGTGGAAAGTATTTTTCTTGCAACTAAATTTATAACTTATAACTTCATCAGGCCCCTCACACTTTTGAAACCAAACCTCCACCAAACAACAGACAGGCACAGTTAGCGAATAGATGGTGAACATAGTGGAAAAATCTAGCAGCTAAAGAGCCAGATATTTCTGTCAGGATGTGGACAATGGACTCCAAATTAATGATAGTGTTTCTCTGTAACTGCTTGATGTATAAATAAGCAGCTGTTTGCAAGTTCACCATACAATAAATCTTAAAAGGTCATATTATGTCAGTGCTGTGTTCACAACCTTCTTCCAAAAGTAGCCAAACAAAATCCGTTATTAAGTTAAAGGAAGAACTGTTCAAGTAGAAAATACACTGCATTTTCATCACATGGTTGTCAGGTTTTCTAGCTGAAATTTAAAGTGTTAATATGATCTGACTGAGATAGGTCAAGAGATGTAATAAGACTTGCAAGCTGCTTCCATGTTAGCAATAGTTTTGGGTGTCAAGAAAATGCTGGATATCACTGGAAATTAAACTCTATTACCTCCAATTCAATTACGTTAACTTGAATTTAATTCAGTTCAATTAAGTTCAATTAGTGTCAGTTTCATTTCATCACTTTTATAACAGCAGTAATGCTGATAGGAGCTTTACCCTGACCTCATTGTGTTTCTCTTTCTCTTGTTCTCTGCTCCTCAGTGTGTCCGTGGCTGTGGGATAACCTGACCTGCTGGCAGGCGGCCAATGTTGGTGAAGTTGTGGTAGTCAACTGTCCAGAGCTCTTTCATGACTTTATGGGCCCTGACGATGGTGATTAGCTGTGTCTCTCATTTGATTTGATCTCATTTGTATTTTAAAAATTCCTTTTATTCAGCTCAGTTCATCCCAACTCAGTGCAGGCATGTTTTTTTTTTTACTTTCAGAGATGGGAAAGGTCAGTCGTAACTGTACGGAGGATGGCTGGTCTGAACCGTTCCCTCATTATGTGGACGTCTGCTTATTCTATGACAATACCACTAAACCACTTGTATGACCTCTTTTACCTTATCTAAAATTCCTATTACATTTACCAAAGACACACATGACTAACCCTCTGTCTCCAACATTAGGACATGTACTACGCCTCAGTCAAGGCTCTGTACACAGTTGGCTACAGCACATCGCTGGTGTCTCTGACTACAGCCATGGTCATTCTTTGCAGATTCAGGTGAGCGTTACAATCTGACCTCCAAAGTCCTGGAGGAGCATAACTGGTCAAAGATAAGAAAATTATTTTCTATCTGTCTATCTCTGAATTTCCTTTAAACATTTGCATGCTGTCAGACAAAAGTCACATTTAGCCAGAATGGAAAGAAAAGCATTAGGAGTGAAAAGGTCCATTAAAATTAGCATGTTTTAATCAGTACATTTAATTACAGTACTGAGGCATCAAAAGTCATATCATGATAATTAATCGTCAACATTTTTCAAGCAAAGCAAACATCACCTACTTCCTTTCAAAGTATTTGCTGCCTTTCTTTGTCTTGAGTGATAGTGAACTAAATATCTTTTGGTTGTTGTTTGGACAAAATAAGCTAATTGAAAATGTCACTTTGGACTCTGGGATGTTTTCCATCAGTAAGTTAGTTGCAGCCCTACTGACATTCTCCTCTATCCATATACACATACAGATGTTTGCTGTGTGTTGAAAACCTCTGGATATATACAGTCATAACCCAAACAATTTGAATCTGTGATTATTCTTTTTCTATAGGTCCTTCTATTTAGCATGTATAATAATATTTAAATATTTAATAAAGGGTTTATAATACACTATAATGTATTCTGTGGGTAGACAATAAGTGAAGCTGGTGTATGTACTGATAATGAATGACAATAGAGTAAAACACAGTAACAATATTATCATACTATCATTAATCATAGTTAATTGTTGACAAATACTGTGCATTAATAAACAATTACAGATTTAAGTGTTTGTAAGTGCACTATAGTGTGTACAACAACATTATAGTGTTTAATAAACCATTTATTAAATGTTTATGCACTGCTAATAAATGCTAATGCATTTTTCAGTCTCTCTTGTAAGTTAGAAAAGAATTATTAATCATGCTGTAACAACTACAAAACAAAACTGACATGGAACCAATATCGATTTTTGTTAATATCCTTCGTACGTAATAATGGTCTTAAAAAGTCTTACATTTTATCTCTTCAACAATCCTAAAACCCTGGGTTAGACACATCTGCATTAATTAGTTTTCTTATAATTAACTTACAAGAGTGAAAACAAGATGAGATGTGATTTCTCTGTCTTCTCTCCAGGAAGCTCCACTGCACCAGGAACTTCATTCACATGAACCTGTTTGTGTCTTTCATCCTGAGAGCCATCTCAGTCTTCATCAAAGATGGCGTGCTGTATGCTCAGGAGGACAGCGACCACTGCTTCGTACACACAGTCAGTAACAACAACAATGTGGCCATGTTCTGTACAAAAATACACACATTATCTGTGGCTGATAAACGACAGGAAAGAGGAAAGAAAACAACCATGACTGCTTGTTTGGTTATTAATTAGTGGAAAAATAAATGGGTTATTTTAAATTCACAAGGCTAATGATTTCATTAATTCAAATTTGAAGCAGATAATTGCAAAATGAGGCCTTTATTAATCTAATTGATCCCCACTCTGCCAAAAAATAATCACTGGCAGGTTTTGAATCAGTACAAGAACTTTGTAGAGTGTATTGGCAGTAGCTAAATGTTTTCAAGATTATTGGAGAGCTTTATTAAAGGATTTCATCGAAGTGCAGCCACGCGTTTTCTAAAGGAAAGCATGTGTATAAAATATGATCGGGCCTGTTCTGTCTGAGATACAAAGACAGAGGGCTTGAAACACTTCTCCTTCAGTCTTTCCCATTTAATATGCACCTTTGAAGGAACCTCAATCACATGCAAATTTTACATAAAGCAAACACGCTATTAGATGACTAATACTCCCTGATTACAAATGCAGAACAAGCTCTTAGCCTTTGTCTGGTAACAACACATTGCTCACTCTTGTTAAGCAGGCATGATAAATAAACCTAATTAGGTACGCTAATGGCTTCAGCAAGGCCAGTGGAAATCTTCTACTAGAGTCTCATTAACATATCAATGGGTACTTTGCCCTTTTTGTCAAACAAACTGCTTTACCGTTGTTGCTATGGCAATCACAGGTCACCATCATGGCGTCGTAGTAGCGGGAATCAGATCAGTGCTGTAATTGGTTGACCCCACTCAGAATATGGACCCTTTAATTAACATGATGTCATTAGATTACCTTCCACCTGACTTGTAGGTGGGTCCCTACCGCCGGCTGTGGAAACATTTTTAGTCCACACATCGGTGCCAAATGCAGCATTTTTAGGGTAATTGCAGTGTGTTGCAACCCTGTCGCCACAGTGACAACGATCTCTGTTCACACTGTGATTTACAGGAAAGGGTATGTTTTTATTTGGTCACTCTGACATCTTTTGTCTTGAGCTTTTCAAAAAAACAGCCGACCATTAAACATTCATTTTACATTTTGAATCTACAACAAAATGCTTTTAGTGTACTTAAAATTGCTGATACTGTTTACACTTTTAAGGAATTGGCACTTGCTTCTAATTGAGATGATAAGAAATACAAAGTTCTTCAAATACCCTTAGAAGGATTGTCCAACATCAGCAATCCAGATGTGAAATCACTGATAAACTAGAGTTCCAATTGTTTTTTGCCCTACTAATGCACCTCCCTGTGTTTCCCCGTGCAGGTGGCGTGTAAAGCTGTGATGGTTTTCTTCCATTACTGCGTCATGTCCAACTATTTCTGGCTCTTCATTGAAGGTCTGTATCTCTTCACTCTGCTGGTGGAGACTTTCTTTCCTGAGAGACGCTACTTCTACTGGTACACCATTGTAGGATGGGGTGAGTATATATTCCTAAACGATTACTATTAACGCCGGAATTATTAATGCAACTTCTCTTTCTGTTCATGCTGTGAATTCAACCATATAATACATAATTTCAACTTTCAAAAGTCAGAATGATTAAGATTTTACTCTCATATTTGTTTCATGTTTAGAGTTTCGAGAGAATAGAGATAGGGCGATGAGATACAGTGTTACCTACACAGTATGTCTTTATCCTGGAGGTCTTGTTAAATTTGTTTATTTGCCAAGGCGCATGAGATTTCAGCCAAACTTGCCGATAAATGTTTTTTTAGATACACAATAAAACAGTAGCATTTTAACATTGTTTCTCTGCTAATTATGAAAAAAGCATGTAATAGTTACCTCTTTTATCTGATATTTATATAGATAAATACAGTATAAACCAGCTTACAACCACAAAAATACAAACCTGTTGTTACACTATATGTTGGTGTTTCTAAAAGCATGATTATTGGACTAATTCCTTTAAAAGAAATAGTGTAATTAACCACATCTATGACATGATACGTTTTAATAATTGTACTGTATTTTTATCCAGTATTTTAGTATTAATGATTACTGTTATTACAGGAACTCCCACCATTTGCGTCACTGTCTGGGCGGTTCTGAGGCTCCACTTTCATGACACTGGGTATAACTCTTCTTCCAACTTTAGATTTAGATGAGACCTAAAGGGAAATTACTCCCTTCATTGTTGACACCATTGATAATTGGTATTTATGCTGACAGTGTTTTTAAAAAAGCATTGAATAAATCCAGTCTTTTTTTATTATATTATTATTATCATATGTTTCATGGGGTTAAATAACTAAAATACTGATGTTTTAGCACACACATGTTACCCTTTTGGAGGGTTTCACAAGCTTAACAAGCTCCTGTTAATTTCCCTGTCTGCGCCTCCATCTTTAGCTTGTTGCATTTCTTGTCCACAATACATGATGTAGTATGTGAGTGTAAGCAAACACAAAACATTTAGAATTATTAGACTGATCTGTCTGAGTAGGTTACAGTAAATCATCATGTTTATATTATTTTGTTAGGTCTGCTTCCATTTTAAACTCTCTACTCCTCTCTGACCGTCGCCTCCACCTCTCTCACTCTGCAAATGGCCACTTGATTGGCGTATTTTATGGTGCTATTTATTACCAAGTGTCGAGAGAAAGTGAAGGAGAGCATGTCGAATGATTATTGAAATGCATTGTTCTCTTCCTACTTCAGATGCTGGGATACAAATGAGAACACTGCCCTCTGGTGGGTGATCAAAGGACCAGTTGTGGCCTCCATTATGGTATGACAGATCCTCATGTTCTTTCAGTTTTTCTTGCGTATTAATTTTTTACACGTGCTCAGTCATTGCTTAATTGAGTGGAAGGTAATTTATAATTTCTGTTATTTGGATTTTGTTTTTCTCAGATCAATTTTGTCCTCTTTATTGGAATAATAATCATCCTGGTCCAGAAGCTGCAGTCCCCTGATATCGGAGGCAACGAATCAAGCATTTACCTGTAAGTCACAATCAGCAAATTGACTAACGCCAATGTTATATCTTCAGAAAAAACTTTAAACTACATGTGTGTGCATGACAAATAATGTACATAAAAATCTATGAAGTAAATTAACATGTTTTGATCTGTGGTACACTGTGCATATAAACAACCCTGCAGCCAACCTTGTTATTCACTGTTGCTTAAATGAGGCAATATCTATATCTTTCTTAATGTAAATAAATCCCATGAGAATACTGAAACCACAAATTAACTGATCCCACTCGTAGTATTGCCTGTGTAGCCAAAACCTGATATCACTTATTCCTCAGGGCCATGGAATTGTTGTCTAAAAACGTTAAAAAACATGTCCCTTCATTATGATGAACATGGGCACTGCAGTTTATTTTGAGTCAATCCCACACAAACCGTCCTGCTGCTGTAAAAACCCACTCGAGCACTTTGAGTTATTCGCTAAAACTACAGCACTCAGCTTGTTTTTAGGAAATTACTGAGCCTTTTAATAAATTAAATTATATATTTGTGACCTGTTTTAAAGATTTACAATAAGAAATAATGGGCTTGGGACCGAGACAGGGTAGGGAAATTGGAAGGTATTGAGAGATGGACTAATACATTGTTGGTTTTGGTGTTTTCATGGGATAAGCTTTATACTTTAATCGTACACACAACACCCTGGACACAAGATGAAAACTCTGGCCTTTATTACCACCACTGTTTTTTTCTCTGTGGATCACTGGGCATTGTCCCTTACACTATCTAAACATGTTTTTATTCTGGAGCCATGCATTTATAAATGAATGAATAAATGAATTCTTCTGAACAGTCTTATTTTCAAGTTTTTATCATTAAAGCTCTGATGTGTCATCCTAGACACTTTTCAGAATATATTAATTTGTAGTACCTGTTGGCAGGAGGCTTGAGCCTCATTATGGAGTTGTACTGTAGCCAGACATCACTCCTGTTCTGCTCCCACAGGATTGTGCCTTTTGAGACCCTGCAGATAATGTCATTCTCATCTGTTGCTTAGACCTGTGCGTGCGTGACCAAGTGTGAAGGTGTGTGTGTGTGTGTGTGTGTGTGTGTGTGTGTGTGTGGGGTGGGTGTGGGTGTGGGTGTGTTGTGTGAGACTGTGTGTCTCTGTCCCTAAAGACACTGTCTTTGTTGTATTGTTGTGTTGTCTTTGTGCTGTGTAGCAGCTGTGCTCAGAAATGCTTCAGTGAGCCCACACAGGCTGTTCAGCATTCGTGCAGGATGTCAGAGTTATCCACCATCACACTGTAAGTGTGTGTGTGTGTGTGTGTGTGTGTGTGTGTGTGTGTGTGTGTGTGTGTGTGTGTGTGTGTGTGTGTGTGTGTGTGTGTGTGTGTGTGTGTTTGTGTGAGAGAATTTGTCCACCAACACACGTGTTTAGGTGTGTCTGTCTTGTGTCTACGGCATGTGTGTAAGTATGTGTGTCTGTGTGTGTTTTACACCAGGGGTTCTTAGAGTTTTTTTACTGGTCTGGACTCCCAAATGCATACTCCCTCACACACACACACACACACACACACACACACACACACACACGTATACTCACATAGGTACCTCTGTACTTGTGAGGACTGTCATTGACATAATGCCTCCTCTAGCACCTAAACCTTTACCTTTAATGATCACAGCTACATGCCTAACCCTGACAATTACCCTAAACTGAACCTTACCCTAATTCTAACTTGAATCTTAAAACCAAGTCTTAGGTCGGTTTGTTAGTTTGTGTTAGTGTGTGGTGTTTTAACATGTTATTTTGAACTCACCAAAGTTACACAATAACATAAACAAACTAACCAATGAAGGCAGCAATAGACCAGCAACTCCCATGGTTTCCATGCAACATAAAATTACTGTTTTTTTAAAGGAGTCTGGTGGCTTTGAACAGCTGATCAAACAAAAAGGATCTTACTCTTTAACAAAAAGTCTATCTCTGTAGGGATCCTTTCCATTATGTTGTCAGACATTTATAATAACAATCTGAGCCTGTCAGTGCCAAAAACAAAAGCAGTTTTAGTGGACGTATATTGATGCGCAATTATCTCAAAGGATTACACATTGCAGGCTGTTTCACGGCTGCTGGCTGCAGCACTATTGCTCAATACTGGACCAATTTAAAAAAGAATTCCCCTTAACCCTCAAAAGGTGCTTTGAATGTCCAACCCAAAGTGAGGACGGCCAAATTGTCCTCACAAAGATAGACGTACAAGACCACACAAACACATACACACAAAACTTTGTTAATCTGCTAAAAAATAAAATAAATCAAAGTTTTTAGATTTGGTTTAGTTGTTTTGCTGGTGCAAGTTGAGAAACAGTAGCCTAAAATGTTACATCTACGTTTTGATCACAATAGTGTTTCATATAACATTAATGTAACATATCACAATTTAACTAAACTGAACTGAGTTCAGAGAATACTGGTTTTGTTCTGCTCCTTAAGGACCCCTGGGAGTCACTGGACTGCACAGTAAAAACCACTGTGTTACACATTTGTGCCTTCTATTATTTTAAGATGCCATATGACGTGTGTTTCTGTGTATTTCCATTTCTTATGTGTATGTCAGACATTGTGTTTTGCTGCATGATACATGCTGAACAGAAATAGTCTATTTTACTATATGATCTATTGCACATGTCAACAGTTTTGTGTTTCTTATCTCAGTCTCAATCTTGTGATAATTTTCACCTATAAATAGATTAGAACACTAAATCTAACCTCAGTCCTAAAGGATAATAATACGGCTGATTTTATTCATTATTTTTCTTATTGTCAACAAATCCTATAAAAGTGCAAACATACAACAATCACACCAATCTCTAAATACTTTCTGACTTCCCCACTTTGTCTGTGGTGCACATCCCCTTGTCAATTTGTTCTTACTGAATATGTAAATCTATAAAACTGGGTAATAAATGCGTAGTACATTTTCTAGTAATTTCCTAGAATGCTGGTCACTGTAGTTTTTAGCAAACGTTACTCAAGCAGGAAATCCAGATAAATACACATTTGATGCTCTAGTAGCTGCGAGTATTCAGGGCAGCAGGATGGTGTATGTGGGATTGACTCAAAATAAACTACAGTGCCACCCAGTGCAATGGTGCGGTTCATTTACATGTTTTTAATAGTTTTTGCACAACAATGGAGCTCTATTGCACAGAGGAATAAGATCAGCCTTTGGCTACAGAGGTAATACTTGTTAGTAGGATCAGTTCATTGTTGGTTTTGGTCTTTTTATGGGATTTGTTGACATTTATCTTTAAATGTGAACACTAGAAATAATCATAGAATTGTGACTGAGCCTGCATTTTAAAACAACACTGATGCCTTGACTGAACTTAAAGATTAAGAGTGATTTCACTTCTTTGTAATCATTCAATCAAACTTTTTTTTTATTTACACAAAAATTGTGTGTATAAATGACCAAGGCAGAAAATCTGTCATAACATTGCATCAGTAGCCCTGATGTTACATCACATGCAACTGACCATCACCAGTAAAACATGACATTGAAGTGTGATTGACTTACACTGCAATCTTATTAAATTGTGTGTGTGTGTGTGTGTGTGTGTGTGTGTGTGTGTGGTGTGTGTGTGTGTGTGTGTGTGTGTGTGTGTGTGTGTGTGTAGGCGTCTGGCACGTTCCACCCTCCTGCTCATCCCCCTGTTTGGTATTCACTACACTGTGTTCGCCTTCTCACCTGAAGATGTCAGCAAGAGGGAGAGACTGGTCTTTGAACTGGGACTGGGATCCTTCCAGGTACGCTTTTTACAGCTCTTACAGCTCCCTGAACGTCCGGATTCAATTAAAGAGAAATACCAGATGATGAATGAGAGAACATAATGGGATAATAAATCATCTGAGTATACAAGGTACAAGGAGGCTCTTTGAGAGAGTGTTAGTGATACTCAAAGCTAGTATTCTGCCCACACTATCTACTGCTGTGCAGCGAGCTAAACACACACACACAAAATAATTGAAGGACAGCAGCTGGTTTCTTGGCAAATGTGAAACTATGAAAACAGTATTGGACAACAAATTCAGTGACAGTGAATACAAGTCAGAGGAAAATCCCATAAACAAGAGTTTAAACAAAGCTACTTTACAAAATCATAGACTGGCTGTCAAATTGGGGACACAGTCACCGATTGGCTCTAGTAAGCACAGTAATAAACACACACATTGTGTCTGAACTCAATTCACTGATTCACTACTCCTCATTATAGATGGGCAAGAAAATGTGATAGGAATTTTAAACTATTTTCTTACTTTATATAGACAACGTGATTAATCAGTTTATTAATCTGCAGATTAATCAACACAAATTATCTTAAATTGCAGCCCTGAATGTTATGCTTTAAATTTTTGAATGCACTAAATCTTCTATAGCTGGTTTATGAAAAGATACACACATTTTCCAGCATAAGCCATAAAACTTAGCCGCAACAAATGGATGAAGGAATGTCATGTTGTTCTACTCAAGACACTATATTTTTGTCAATTTGTATAAATAACATAATGTGGGATTAGTGTGGGATTTCTTAAACAACAGCTCTATATTCTCTCATGTTACATGAAAGAATATATATAATCAAGATACACGACACTGATGACACAATTCCTGAATAATGAAGCTGCAATATTTCAAGCAGCTACTTTCTGCTTTTCAGAGCCGTCAGCACTCACTGTTTTGTAGCTTTTAATGGTTGAACATTTTAGTGTATCCATGACCTTAACCTGTCTTAAACCTTTGCTGATAGGGATGCAGTTGTTTTTAAAAATGAAAGCTCAAACAGTTTTTATCTTATTTGTTGTCTTCATTCTCCTTCTAAGGGCTTTGTTGTAGCTGTGCTCTACTGTTTCCTCAATGGAGAGGTATGTTTTTTTGTCCCTGTTCATAAACACATTCACTTCACTTCTGACGCACATTAACACCAGGAATGCTCTTAATGCTATTTTTCAGCTTTTTTTATGCTAGACATCTCTAAATATGAGTCGTAAATTGTATATATGAACATATTAAATGTTTTATAACATACCTTAATTTGGATGTGAGTAAATATAAGGATATTTAAATTGTTTATTAATGTGTCAACAATTACAACTTCTCCTAAATACAAAATTAATTAGTGTTAATGAATTAATAACACACTATAACATAGCTGTAATCATATTTAATGAGGTATAATTTAACAAAAACAAAATAACAAACAAATCCTTGCATTAACTGTTTGTACACATGAACAAAGTATTCAGTTAAAATGGTCTATAAATGTGTTCAAAACTCATAAAGACATGTTCATGGTTCACTGTTGACCTCAGAAATAGTAGCATGACAAACACAAATATGTGGCCAGAAACAACAACAAAAACAACAGTACTTTCATTAAGCCATAATTAAAACTGCTGTGTGTGTGTGTGTGTGTGTGTGTGTGTGTGTGTGTGTGTGTGTGTGTGTGTGTGTGTGTGTGTGTGTGTGTGTGTGTGTGTGTGTTGTGTGCGTGTGCGTGTGCGTTCGTACACATTTTTGTATATATTTACATAAATTAGTTGTTTTTGCCAAATGAATATTAAAATAATGTGCGGCACACAAATTGCCTCACCTACTAATGTAAAAAACTAATTAAAAGAAATAAACAGACAAAATATATGTAAACAAAATACAGACCTTTCATGTGTAGGTCTGCATTCTGCAAAAACAAACAAACAACCTAATTGCTGACCTCTGTTGCTGCCATTTGTTGCTATATTATATTGTCAATCATTAGCTAACTGTTAAGTTAAGTGTTGCCCACACAGTTTAAGTGTACTGTACCTTTTCATGGAGATGGTACAGCTTAAAGTACATTAAAAATGACCTTGTGAAGTTTCTCCCTGAAGGTGCAGTCGGAGATCAAGAGGAAATGGCGCAGCTGGACGGTGAACCGGTACTTTGCTGTGGACTTGAAGCAGCAAAGGCACCCTTCATTGGCGAGCAGTGGAGTGAACGGCGGGACTCAGCTGTCGATCCTTAGCAAGAGCAGCTCCCAGATACGCATGTCGAGCCCACTGGCGGAGAACGCCAACATCAGCCTCCCCACCTGAGCGTCTGATTGGCAGGAGTCAACTTCAAGGTGCCATTCCTCTTACGTACATCCAGACCAACCAGAACAGACCAAAGTGGCCCCTCACACCTCTTATATTTTGTAGTTTGGCCTTTAGATAATGAGATATTTCTGAAAGAGATTAATTGGAGGTGCAAAGCTGGCTTTCATACTTTCTAATTTAATTTGAATATACAATATAATTGAATTTATCTGAGCATTTTAGTTGACTCTGTGGATTGCAATTGTTTATGATTAATGATGCACTTAATATTTTTACGGATAACTCAAATTACACTCCATTAATTACAACATGAGCGAGACGATAGAAATTCCCTTCCTACCAATTGTTTTATTCAAAATGTAGCCCCTGTTATTGTTTTATTTGTTTAGTTGGTGCCAAAAAATAGAATAGTTGTAAAAACAAAACAAATGTAGGGGGTCATAACTGGCTGTTGGTGTGTAAAGTAAATGTGCTTCAAAGTGCCATGCAGGTTGCCTGACTGGATCTGATCTCATAACAGTCCAAAGTTAAATATCAACCAAACGTTCGCCTTGCTTGTACAAATGCTCATTGTTTAAATGTTTCATCTTAAATTTAAACATTTTTCTACAATCAGCCGTAAGTACAGAGTATGTCAAAAGATATATATATATAAAATCTAAAAAAACTCATGGACTTTGTAAATAGTTACTTTTGGTGTCTAGATCAGAATTTCTTTCTTTTGCTTAATGCAGTATTGTAATGACCTTTTCAAACAAAAGGAACTGGAGCCCAAATCTGTAGACTTCATCACATATCCTGAGGACCCAGAAGATCCTGCCCACTATATTCTGAACTATTTGTTTGTATTAAATATAAACACACACACGATATCTATATATAAGAACATAGTGCCAAAATGAATGAGCAGTGGTTCCCAACCTGAAGGTGACGAGATGAATCTGAGGGGCCGTGAGATGTACCATGATGATAGTACAACAAGTTTGGAAAGAGGAACAATATATTTCTGCTTCATTAATTTCTGTTTATTTTCAGGACATTCATTTAAGCTTTTTGTCTTGTAAATGACCCGATAGTTACACGTCTTTAAGCTTCTAGAAACATTCATATTAAACCATCTGAGAATGTAAAATCACTCTTTGGTCGAAGTGCTCACCTTTGACTTTGGAATGTTTTAAAGAATGAAAAGACCAAAAAGGTTGGGAACCACTGCTGTAGAGGACAGCACAGTAGCCTACACAAGGGAATACAAAATTGAATAAAAAATGAAATAAACAAACTAAAAATCCACACTCTGAACTGATGTATCCTCACAGATAGTGTCAGTGTTGAGCCTCCAGATGCACTACAGTAGTTTCCTCCAGTTGGTTTTTCCCTTTTATAGACATGTTCTTTGCAGACTTTGAACATAAACAGTACATGTGCCATTCAGTGGATGCTTTTATCCAAAGCTCCTCATAGTGCCATAAGTTTATATGTACAGCATTTTATTTTAGGCATTGAAAATCAAACCCCTCAACATACTATACTAAGGATAAAGATGTTCTCTTTTCTCTGAGCCTCAAACCATAATGCCATATTAAATTGCTCTTCATTTATTTATTCTTTAATTAATCATCTCCTATACTCATATTCCAAAGTGCCTAGTCAGTCACAAATAGCTATCATTTTTATTTACAGTGCAATGAACAGATATCTTAAAGGTGTAGAAAGAGTAATTTCTTGCAAAGAATGTACAGACTGGTGTGTTTTATTGTGGATCACTTTTTCAAAGTTATGCTTCTTCATAGATAAATATTTTATCCATTTGTTGGTGAAATTCTTCTTTTTCTCTTTTTAAATTTCTTAGACATTAAGTGAAATGAGTCCTGCTGTGTTTTTTTCTTTTGAATCATGACAATTTTTTGACAAGACTTGAGTTACAGCTCTACAGAATCGCTGCTTTATTTAGCCTCCTGGTTACAGCTATCATCTATTCAAGATAAGTCCATTTCAGTTCAGCGCCAACTTCGAACACATAGACGGTTTCAAAATAGAAACAGTACATGTTATTACAGTCGACACAAAATGCTTTAATGTGACAGCTCTTGACAATCGCGGAGTGTTGCCCATTTTCTTTTTCTGTCTTTTTGTTTGTGCAGAAACAAGCTAACAAACAATAACTGTCCTGGTGGGGAAATCATTTAAAGAGACAAAATGTGAAATGATTTGTACAGGAGGATTTATCCACAATATTTACTCAAGATATTTATTTTTTGTATTGTTATCTGAGTGCATTAAACGAATGTAGAATCTTTAAAATGGATGATATTGTTGAACAGATAAGGATGTATATTTATTTTCCATAAACCACTGACATGTGAAATGACTCAATGTACAGTATACATGCTTTCTTATGTGTCATTTAGTTATATGTCAGATGTATAATTTCATTACATTGACTGATGTTGACTTTCTTGGTCAAAGTGCCATAAATGTAGTGCCATAACTGGGCACAGTGGGAGCTGTGTGACACAAAAACAAAAACATTCAGAGGAAATTGCTGTCCAAAGCTGCAGAGGATATTGCGAGTGATAAAACACAGCTTTAACCTCTAAAAAAGCTAGATAAAACACACACTACTGAAGAGATGCATCTGTTTTAATGCATCCGCTTTGCTGTTTTGGGACAAAACAGTGTGTGACTGTGAAACATGTCTCACTATAATCAGAGATAGGCTAGAGGAGTATTTATTTTGAATTAGGGGTTAGAGTTTAGAAGGTGGAACAACTGCGACAGATAAAACACAAAGTGTGTACTAGGGTGTGATAAAAATCACACTGCTGCTGCTTACGTGTTCTATCACCAGCCGTCACTCTGAGTCTGAATCGGCTCAGATGGAAACGACCATGTCTCAAAGCTGTTACTGTCTGAAAAGAAGAGTGGAAAACTCCTTACTTGACAATGTCTGTGTTGTATATTTATCTACCACAAGGTGGCGACCAAGTGTAAGAATTGTAGTTTGATAGTTTAATAGGGAGGGGACATTTGACTGGCATCGGTTTTGCTTTTTGAGCCTTCTACTTTGGATTTTGGATGAAACAGGGGTTGGGGTGGGGCATTTAGGGACTCTTACGCCACATGCTTAACATTGTTCACATCTACTTTTTGTATTTTTTCTTTACACAAATCAGCAAACAAGCCTACAAATGAGATGTTTCTAAATGAGGCCTGATGTGCAATTTTGAAACAGTTTGAAGTTGGTTATTTTGTTATATTTCCCCCTCTCAATCCCAAAATGTCCTCACTGCTTACTTTAGTTTCAAAACCAACTGTGAACTGTTTGAATTTCAAAACATTTACTGAGATGGGAGGACATTTGCCCTTTCGAGTGCTAAAGCAAAATCAGGCAGTGTAACTTTGAGCTTAATTTGAGCTAAAACTGACCACACCTTTCTTCTCACACACACTCTTCTTACAGTGAATTTAGCATTACAGTAACACACTAATCTTTATATATGTGTGTCAAAGCCCGACATGTTTTCTTAAAGCAATAGTCTGACATTTTGGGAAATATGCTTATTCGCTTTCCTGCTGAGAGTTGCATGAGAAGACTGACAGTACATTCGACTGTGGGATATGCTAAATATGAAGCTACAGCCAGTAGCCATTTAGTTTAGCTTAGCACAAAGACTGGAAGCAGGGGGAAACAGCTAGCCTGGCTCCGTCTGGCTTTTTGTAGGTTAATTAATTTGTCAATTAGTGAGCTGCTAATATCCACTAGCTGTGGGTAAACAGTTGCTTTCCCCCAGCTAGGAGATAAAACAGCTAGATATTAGATATTAGTTAATATTACATCTACTAGCTACTTTTTCCCCTCATTTTTCAGTCTTTGCGGTATCAATCTTCTCATCTCTCAAGAAAGCAAATACTTTGTTTAGCTGATTTCCTAAAATGTCCTAAAACTATTCCTTTAAATGTAACTATTCTCAGTGTGGCGTATCTCTGTATTTAGATGCCTTTTCTTTGACGGTTGTGCGTGTTGAGCCAGTTTTATCAAGTGTTGAGTGTATGTGTGTGAGTTCTATTGATTGCCAATGAATTTTTTGAATGTACTGATGTTGCTCAGCTGCTCTTAAATGTCGCCTGCTATCAATTTGCCATGGTGTACAAATGATGTCTTTTCTTGATCATGTATACAGTACACTGTATATGGATATTTTTGGCACACAGGTGGACCCCTTGACGAAGACCTGTAATGTTTGTGACCGTGTTTTTGTATGTTTATGTAACTGTCTTCAGAGTGTGTGTGTATGTGTGTGTGTATGTTTGAAAGTTGAAGAGAGTGTAGTCTGTATGCATGTGTATGTAATGCCAAGCATTCATGAGGATATAAGTAACTTAAATGTCAAAAGAATATCTATAAAGCCCATATTATGTTCTACTTGTGACAGTGTTTTATGTATGTGTTCTTGTGTCCAACATTCATGTCCCAGGTTGTGTAAATTTGACTGCAAAATAAATCTATCTGTGGTAAACTCTTGTGTGTGTTGTATTTATTTTGCTCAGCTATCGTGTGCAACAGCCAAATTTTTCTCTTTTCTAATTTGTATCCTTTAAATGAGCTTTGGGGCACCAAAAGATTCAAATTAAGGTATCTGGAAACCAAGTTTACAAAATGTGATGAAATTCCTTACTAATTGCTATTGTCAGACACAAAAACAATGCAGTTAATACCTCTCAAACCACATTTATTACTGTGCCTTTTCCCTACACAGGCCCAACAACAATGAAAATACAGTTTATCCAATGCATTATAAAGTGCAACATTAAATCATAATATGACAGTCAAAGTGCTTAATGGTTCAGTTCCTACAATGCGTTATTTATGGTCTATAAAAAAATAAATAACAAAAAAAAGCACAGATCTGACTTTTCCTCCATAATCAAAATCTGGGCAACTTGTATATGGGTGAAATGTTGAGCTTTAAAAACATCGGATATAAACACATAGTGTATCTTCAGACACTACCACTGTGTCAGTCATACAGTACCATTTTGATGCCATTTTACCATTTAAATGCTTGGCGCCGTGTCGCATTGACACATATCGATCAATTTGGTATCTCCATATAGTGCAACAAATGTGCCAAGAAATTAGGATCATCACATCTGATAACAACATGAAAACTGACAGATGAAGAAAATACAAGTGTATACATTTTCACAAATGTGTTTTCAAAGATGGCTCATCAAAGCAGACGATTCCTCAAAATAAGAAGTCCTTCAAGAAATGACGTACCAATATGTGGCAGCCTCACACACACACACAAGCAAACACACAACATTTAATACATTCGCTTATAGGCCCTTCTGGATCTTCATGATTGAAAAATTCTGTCAAACAGCAGGGGAATTTGCTACACAGGAATCCATTAGCACATTCAGTCCAGATCAGTCCTGCATATATTTCCAACTGCTTCTGTTCAGTGCAGCACAAAACGTTTAAACAAGTCAAGCTTGTTTCACACAATTTAGCCAAGTTTAAACATCCACTGTTTCCTCAGCTGTGTCTACATAATCCCTCAACATTTGCTAATTTTTGTGCTCGTGCAGTCCAAACTGTACACACAACCATGTGAGATCATCCTTCTACGAGCTCATGGTGAGCTCTGTCTCCACTGTGGTCTCATCTTTCCAATGTCACCATGACTTAGAAATCAAGCACCAGTGTTCTTTTACTTTATAGTATTTTTTGGTTGCAACAATTATAGAAGGCGGGCCGCACTGATTAAGCTCAGAAACGTGTGCTGTCAGGGTCGTAGCGGCTGTTGACACTGATATAATGCATCCTGGCACATCATTTCCTCAATCACTCACCAGCGTTCATTATGGCCGCCTTCTGTCAGAGGGGTTGTTGAATTAATGTCATCAGCAGGCTGAGCTTTGAGGACTGCCTCTGATACTTTGTTTGACATTCTCACAACAACTTTTCTCTCATGGACGGTCTCTTAAAGTCATACTGAAGAGATGTTGCCGCTAGAAGGAGGCCTCCCGAGCCCTCCGCGGGCTCGAATTGTGATCTGGGTAATACTTTGCTTAGCTGGGGTGAGATGATTTTGATTGTGACACTTCCACAGCCACCTCCGCAGCTCTGTTTGGACCTGCAGACAAGCACATGCATGCAGAGCTGTACGGGATACAGAAATTGCTTTTGATAAAGTCACGTACTGTACGCCACGCGCGTACAGTTCAGGAATCCATTCACTTACCTCGCCATTCATGAAACAGTAAAGCAGTGCCACAACAAAACCCTGCAACACAAGAGACATGGTGACTTTTAAAACATAATTCTACAATCGTATATGCACATTCCAATTAAAGCTGCAGTAGATAACTTTAATAAAAATACATGGTACATGAGACGGATAATATGTGAAAAAAATCAGGTTTCTCTGGCTCCTCCTAGTGCTCCTATAGCATTTGCAAGAGTCCCCCATGTCTCAACAAAAACAACCAATGAGTTCTAGGAAAGATAGTTGATTGTCCCAGGTTGTCAAACAACAACAGTGTGATTTGGTGGCTTGAAGATAGTTGATTGTTGAGTCGCCTGAGAAAGAGACTCAAGAATTAACTGTCTTTCTGGTTTGTTGTTTTCGTTCAGAAGCGGTGGATTCAAGCTGTTTTTTTCACAGATTATGTCTCTCATGTACTACAGTTAGGATTTAGTGAAAGTTCCAGCAAATGTGACAAAAATGTATTTTTGTATAGTTACCTACAGCTTTAAATTAGTCAATCCACACTTAACATTCACACATAGTGCTCACTACAGTGGACAACTATTCAAAAGCAGTTTTCTCGTATATGCAGGTTTTGATGGTATAGTTGTGAATCAGCCACCACAGTGGAGCGCGTGATCCCATACACTGCCACCCACTGGCCAGTGCAACACAAATTTCTGATTCCAAGATGGTCGACAGAAGGCTAGAAATGCTGAGCAGTTCAAGAATATCTAACCAGGCCTTAAAATTTCATAACATCAAGTAACAACTTAGAAGTAATACAATTATTAAAAAAGTATTTGTATCATGTTAGGAGAAAATTAAGATTAATCATCTGTTCACTATATTGGACATCATGCTTTGCTGGCTATATTTCAACTAGCCAGTGATTCATGCTATTACTCTGACTCTGACTGTGTTCTTGAATAATCTTCATCTGCAGTAACTTTTTAGGTTGTAAATTAGTTGATTTATGTTATGAAATGTAACTTTTTGTAACAAAAAACATATTTTGTTAGTTCAATTATGTGAAGTAACCGTTAACATCTTTATGTCTATGTATATTTATGTGTGTATATATGAACAGGTTCATGAGGTTGTCATAGTTCATGCATGAAAGGGTTAAAAGACCTTCATCCCTTCACTCGACATGCAGTGACCAACATATGACCTTTCTTTTATTCAAATTGTATTAAGACATAAGTATTGCCAGCTTAAAAGGCTGTTTGAAATATTTTTTTACAGTAGATTTAGGTTTAAGGTACAGACCATAAGCTGGAACATCCCTGGTCAAGGTTTGGTCTTTCCCTGTCACTTCCTCCCTTTATCTTCCGTCATATCGCCACTGTAAAATCTTGAATAAAGACATACAATTTCCCCCAAAAGGATTTGAATCCCACTAGGCCCTTTCCATGGAAGACATTTTGCATGCTGGCTCACTGTCATGTCTTACTGAGACACTTAGATAGAACAGATCCATCGGTAATGTTAGTAGTTACACCCGTGCTTTTCCTACTAAATCAAAATGTCTTCTGTGAAAAGGCCTATTGAGAGCATTCTTCTATAAGCAGTTCACCTTTGGTCGCTTTTAGTGATATCTCAATATAGTTTTTTAAATCTGTCCTTTTTGTTCTGCTCCCTCTTTGTTGTTCAATACCTGAAAGGATCCCAGTCCCAGCTCGATGTACAATCTGGCTGCCACTCCAGTGTTCTCAGGCAGGAAGGCAAATACTGTGTAGTGCATCCCAAACAGAGGGATAAGGAACAGGGTGGATTTAGCCAGCCTCCTGAGGGAAACAAATAATAGAGGAATAAAAGAAAGAAGAAAGACTGAACATCAGTCCAGGTAACGTAAAGGCACAACCTTGTGCTAATCCGTATAAAGGACCTGAAAACACATTTTCTTAATCAGCTTCTCACTCTGAGAGATGGGTCCTACATGAACATTTGCTAGACATAAAACAGTAGGGTGGTTACACATGAGAGATTTGTCTTTTTTTCTCTTTTTTTTTTTAAAATCGGTGCTCTTCTTTTGTATTTTAAAGTGTGTGGGGCTCGGTTTAAAAAATGTGATGCCACATACTTTAATCAGGATTTAGCAACTTTGAATCAAACTGCTCAAACACATAATCCTCAGTGTTAAACTCTTGAGAAATAATAACAGAGGATGTTTCTTTTTACTCTGACTTTGATTGTTGCTTATTAATATTTCATATTACAAGTTTTCAGGAGCTTTAAAGAAATGTATCATCTCAACAACAAAGTAATCAGAAAATGTAAGCTAGTAGTAATGATGGCCTTTCAAGTTTGAAATATTCAGCTTTATCAGTGTCGGTCTTATCAGTGTTTTAGTTTCTAAATGCCAGGATACAAAGGCAGAATGCATCATTCAGCCAAGTTTCATCAGAGGTAGACCGGATGTTGCTGATATCAGATCTTTATTAAACAAACTGACCTTTAAAACAACTCTGTCCTCAAGCCAATCAGTGAATAGATTCAAATGTCAAAATACAAAACCCAGATGCATTGTGCTCAAAGCTTAGCTCAAATCACTGATGTCTAAATATCATATAAATGTTGTTTTATTTTGGTGATATTACATTACATTACAAGTCATGTGGTTCAGAAAACAAAACCTCCACCTCTTTAATACATCCCACAAAAATCACAAAATCACAACTAACTAGCTTAGCTTTTTATCTTCCTTTTTTGTTGTTGTTTATTACTTCATGTCACAGTGATGATAAACTATCTGGGCACATATCTAATGATCTAGATCACAGCTGAATCAAAACATATTTAATTTATATTCTATCACAGATCAATAAACCAGGAGTTCCCATCGTTTCTACTTAAAGAAAAGGGGTCCTTTTTCTATAATTTAGTATTTAATGGATCTCAGTAATTAAGTAGTTTGTGTAAAAGGAGTGATTTTATTTTATTCTTAATTGGCTTCTTTTTTTGATAAGTTCAGTGTTTTCTTGTTCCTGATGCTTGGTCATTGTTCAATTAGACAATCTACCTTACACTTGACTTTTCTTCACAGAAGTGAACCAAACGCTGAGATATAGGCGAACTGTGTATATTTTTAGTTATATATATTTTAAGTTTTCCAGCACGCCTTAAACTCCAGAAGGCCTTGCAACCCCCCCAATGAAGCTTTGGCAACCCCTAGTGGGGAACCCGACCCCGAAGTTGGGAACCACTGCAATAGACAGCAGTTTAAATCCCAAAAGAGATGTCTGCACATGGTCTTGTTCTTTGATCGTTATGTCAGATTTAAGTAATCTAAATATTCTAAAAAACTAAATAATCACTCTGATCAGAAATAACATCACTGCCATGGCTGCTGAAAGATTAAAGATTAAGAAAAGAAAAAAAACCCATCAGATTATTTTCAAGCCCATAATAGGATTGTGTTTGTCTTTTGTCACACCTGAGATTTGTGCTTTTGTGTTAACGTCACAGAGCTGCCTGAAGCAGATTGAAGTTTGTAAGAAAGAGATGAAGCTTTTGAAAGTGAGTAACATGCATTGAGCTGGTGGAACAATCCTGTCGCACGGCGATAGAGGAGACGTCTATTTCTGGTATCCGGTGCTATTTTTATGTGCTGCGCTCATTCTAAATTAATTCAGCTGAGCTGGAATCTGCACCGACCAAAATGTCAAACGGAATGAGGGATTTACTCCAGTAAAGCAGGATTTCTGGGCTCCCAGAGTAGATTCATAGACACAGCAGTTCAGCATTTTATCAAGGGATTTCATCAATTCACTCTCCTTCCCCTGTAGTAAATTCTCCAAAGAAACTGTACCAACAACATACCAGAACCATTTCCAACATCTTAAAATTTCTCACTCAGCGGTTTTACCTCAGCACTGAACAATTGCTTCATAGTAGAAAGAAGCCATTAAGACTTTTCTAAACTTTTCAACAGTAACAAACACAAACTTTACATATTATTAAAATGACTTTTTAATCTCATATGTATATCATAAAACTAGTACGTGGCATTACGTAATACCAAAATACCGTAAAACTCCCCACATAACAGTTGAATTCTTTAACCCTCTGTGATAAATCATTCATTCCTCATAATTTCTTAACAGGTCAGGCATTAAAATCCTCAAACTTCCTAAATATTTAAATGCCAGAGAACTGAAATTGAACTAAAATGAGCATCAAATCTGAAGCAGTTTGTTAGTTTCAGGAAGAGCTCTGAAGTCATGCCTGCATTAGCTTACTGGCATCAGCTGCTTCTTTCATCCGACACAATCAGTGGTTTATTCATCAGCTGTTTGGTTACCTGCTGGGAGGTAACATCCAATCTCATTATGAGTTGCACAAGGCAGCTTTTATAGCCTGACACTTCTCACTAGTCGCTCTGCTGATCTACACTCTTGCACTCACCGTTCGCTGCTGCAGCTCCCTTAGTCTCCCCAAACTGTTTTTACATTTCTATTGTGTTGAAGCTTTTGTTATTGCTGAGTTTACCGAACTATAACATTAATATATTTGCAAAGCTTCCTCAAAGAACAGTGACTTTTCCACCAAAACTAACCATGTAACAATTTAGAAGGTTAAATTCCCTGACGCAAGTGCCTCTGAAGGAACTGTTGTTTGTACAAGAACAACTTTAAGGTCATGGTCCAGTTGTTTTAAAAAAGTTGTGACTTACATAAAATGTCCTGTGTCATTGTTTCCGGCCATAGCTGAAGATTTAAGCTTTTGAACCAGAATCCGGATCACGTTGATGAAGATGACTATGTTGACCTGGTAGAAATACATGCACACCAAATGACAAAATCCACACAGTAAGATAAATAAAAAACATACTACTTTAATACAAAAAGATCAATTTAAACCCACTAAATTCCCACAAAGCTCAAAAGAGAAAACTTTGATTTATATGTTAAATTCATTGACATTTAAGGATTAAACAGAAACTGATTGACCATTGGCTAAATCCTCCCCCGAACAGAAATTATTTGATTTGTATTCCTCCACATGTTGATGTGGTGTGTATTAGACTGACTGTATTAAGAGCAATATTCTGCAAGTGTTTAGAGGGGTGTGTCCTTTTATTTAGCCTTTCCAGACCCAAAAACAAGTGTAAGGAATAGATTAAACAGTGTGTTTGTCTGCAAAGCTGCAATGATGGTGTTTTCAACTGGTGGAGGTAGTGTTAGGTTAATTAGCTAGGCAACTAAAACTAATAAAGTCAGCCAGCAGTGTTTAAGTAGCGTGGGAGCCACTGGGAGTTAAGCTACCATGAAAGCAGTAAAGTCATACATCTGTGGGGTCCCTAATACATTACCAGAAGAAGGGAGCGTGCAATGAGATTACATAATTAATAGAGCACCAGTCAAACCTTAAAAGGAAAAATTATGGCATTTGTTTTACATATTATTTTGAGGAAAGTTACAGTCTCCTCATCGCTCCAGACAGATCTGACGTTTTAGTCTGCTGCTATTTTTCGTCTCCACAGTGGACGTTAAGGCACATGCCAAAATGCACATAAAAAACAAATGATGGAAACTCAACCAAGTGACAGTCAAGTGAAAAGAAGTACCCTTCGTTTCAAAATGAACTATGAATTTTGATAGTAAATCAACCATTTTGACAGATGTAGTAACTGTAACTAAAGGGGGCGGGGCTTAGTGAACAGTTAGTGGTACAGTGTCGCTGCTCTTCACTCACCAGTAGCGAGGCTGTTATTGGTCCTTTAATAATCCACCAAATACCAACTTTGTCCGTGTCATCCCAGCAACTGCAATTAAAAAATGAAAAAAATTAAATTAGGCATTAAAATGATTTTCAAGTTGAAAATGATTAGCCTACAGTGCAGTGAAATATTGAGAAAACGTAAGCTGCTTTGCTGCGTATCATGTAATATTTCGTACCCTTTGTTATCAAAGAAGAATCTGGTCAACACCCAAAGTATAAGAACTGTTGATGGGAGCCCTGAAACATAAGAGCAGAGATGAATTATTAATGCTTTGTGTTACTGTCAAGTAAAATTAGTCTGAACAACACTCAAATCAAACTGCATTTTTCATGAAAATATTATCAGGCATATAAAACATTGTGCTTACTGAGTATATCAGACTTATCTGTCTCCCTCTTGCATCTCCATGCTATAAGAATAATCAGACACACACTAAAAAGCAGGAGGCAAGATAATACAAACCAGAAAGAACCTGATAAGACACATGAGAGGTTCCCTTGGTTCCTTGTCAGGTTGTAAAAACATAGATCCTCGGGTCAGAGATAAGTTCCTTAGCAAGAAGTGCATAGTTTAATATTTGAATCAGGTTTGAATGTGTTTTGATGTGGTTGAATGGAGTATATGTCATGTATTCTAAATTAAATTATTGAAGAGAGACAGTCAAATTTGTGTACAATTTAGATTAGGCATTGCTAATGTTATTTGAAAGTAATATTATAAGACAAAAGGAAGATATTCCAAACATCCAACCCATATTCCAACCCTTCATCATCTCTCTTCATCAGTACAGGAGGGGATATCTAAACCCTGCATGAAAACAAGAGAGTCTACAGTAATAGCGGCTCTGTAAGGCTGTACTTCCAAACAGCAGTGCTTTGAATAAATAATTGAATGCCAACATCAGCACAATGACAATGCTAACAAGCATAAGCCACACTGTTTGTTTGTTAATATATACAGTATGTTAATGCTAAGCTGAATTAAATAATCTTTTTGTGTGTGTGTAGCATGAAGGAACTGCAAACTTTAATTTTGTTCTACAAGCTTCTGTTGTATAATGATTAATACATTTCCACAATTCCTTGATAAACCTAGAAGGTGCAAGATAAAAGGTAGAGGATGACAAAATTTCATGGCAATCCTTTCAATAGTTTCCAACTGACTGTAACCCCCAGAGCAAAGGGGGAGACAAGGAAGACACCACTCCCTTCACCGTCTCCCAGACCAAAAATATAACTGGTTCAGCAAACCTATTGTTCAGTCTTCTTTCTAAAGGAGGATACAATTAGTTTCCTGTGGAATTTCTACAAACCTGTGACATGAAGACTGCACCAAGACTTAGATTTAGAAGAACCCCAGTCTTGCAGAATCTATTTATCTTCAACACGGATTGATGGACAGAGGCAGAGGGTAGCTTTTTCGAACTTCTCCCTCCATCGTCCTCCTCATTTTGACCTACAGTATGTTGTCTGGTGATTTAATTAAAACCATTTTATTGTACAGTGTGGCTTGTCCAATAACTGCACTAAAAACTACAAATCCTCCAAAATTGAATGATCATGTCTGCCTGAATGCTGCAGCACCAACTATTCCTTAACGAGACTGCTGAGACTTGATTTGAGCATCAGTCCTGCTGTCATTCTTCACCGCATTCTGCCATTAGGTCCTTCTAGCTCCTATTAAAAATACTCTATTACAAAGTCTTTTTGACTCTGACTACAAAAGGCCCAACATGCTCTCCAGAAATGTTGTTTCATCAATTGTAGGTTCTGTTGGCTAAAAGTTTCAGGAAAATTTCACAATCTGTGTCCACAACATCATAACAGGTATGCTGCTGTTGCACCTTTACTGCTGTACTAAACAGAACTGTTGGGTGTCTTCTAAGCCTGTACTTGCTCAATTGCACTGAAACATTCTGGTAACAGTACTGAAATGATACAGACAAAGGCTGTGGAACTTCACTACAAGCACTTGAGAGTACAGACTTAAACAGGAAAATACACGGCAAACAAGAAACCAAAAAAGACAATGGGATAAGAAAGGGAGGATAACGGAACAGTTGACTGAGCAACACACGATCACACAGAGGGAAAACTCTTAAAACATCCGCAGAGAGCTCAGGGAGGCAAAAGATAAGGGAGAAAACACAGGAAAAACAAGGGCACGTTCAGCTGCAATAGCAGCTCAGGCACTGCTATTGTGTAAATAAAATGTTGCCACGTTTTTGGGACTGAATTATTGTCTGGATTTACTGTAGATTTCCAACCCAAATGTGAATATATTGTGCAATAACAAAGGGTGTGCATAATAACAGGAGAACCTTACAAACCATTGCACTGTAATGCAACACCCCAAATGAATGGGATCAAAAATTACCAGCTGAATCACTAGCTCTCTGTCTCACAAAGGACTGCTGTGTTGGATAGAATATTATTATGGGTTTTTGTTATTATTAGGATGAATGTGCTGTCACAAATAACCAGCCAACCAGATGCTCAAGTAACAAAGAAGCAAAGTGAAAAAACAACTGCAACACAAGCTGACAGCACACAGTGTTTGTCATATAGTGTTTACAGAGTGTGTAAAAAAAAACAAGCTCCACAGCACATACACCAGTGACAGGATTGCAGGGCAGTCAGGGGGTCTTAGCTCCCCCAAAAGAGAGAAATGTGGCATGTAACAGTGAATGGAAAAACACAATTGATGTGCAAGGTTTTTTATGTATCATAGGCTGCTTCGCCTCTGTGTGTTATTGTGCATGGAAATAATGTCAAATCAGCAGTTCTGCAGCGTACCTCCTGAACATCGCCATACAAAAAGGCTGAATCTTTGTCAGTTATCCAATGAGAATAAAACACGTACAGTAGATGGACAGCCTCTAAAAGACACTAAACATCTAACACATAAACTAAAATCATCACACATCACCATTACATCATGATAAAATATTGTGCACCCAGTATTGTGAATTAAATCATAAGTTGAGTGTATTGTTACATCCCTTATAAAACTCTCTTAATGCATAAACATTCATTCATTGTCCTTGGATTTAAGCTTCTCACATTGTAAATCCATTAAGCCGCTTTAAGTTTCTTAACTTTGTATTTCATATCACAGAATGCGAATACAATTTTTGAGGTTGCATAACTGTGTACAAAGTCAGTGGAAAAATGTGTTTAGATGCGGGGCGACACAAAATTGACGAAAAGATGCATCTGTGCAAGTCGATATCCAGGGTCCTTACGAAACTACTTTATAAACTTACAGACATGAAAGTGGAAAAAAGGAGAGACTGGAGGAAAATAACAGAACGAACCAGAGTTTCTGATGAGTTTGAGTTCAGTCAGGTGCTGAACACACCGTATGAAAGTTAATGTTTCCCCCTCTGCATCCCTGATGAAGCTTCTCGATAGCAATACAACAAAAATTGCCCATTGTCTTGCAATTGAACTCCTATCATCGATAACCATGACTCCATTCCACATATATGTAATTTATTGAGAGCTGATCATATGTCACATGTTTTGTTCCTTAGGTAACTTCCACGCTGGGATGGTTTTATCAGGCGTTTGTATGTGTTATGAATATTATATATCCAACCATCACTTGATTGTCAGTCTGTCATGGGCTTGCCATCCTCAGATGACCTTTTCAGGCATCCCTACTCACCCCATCCAATCAAGATGTACCACCAGAAGTATTTCCTCTGAGAGACGAAGGTCAGGGCCAGCAGGGTCTGCAGATACATGCCCTCCACCAGCAACCAAAAGTAATTGGCCAGGATGCTGAACTGGAAGAAAGCCACGGCTGACTTGCACGCCGTCTAGAGAGGAACACAACAAATCAGAGTTATTTAATGCTGAATTAACACGCACAGTTTTGGTTGAGGAAGTACAGCAGTAAGGTCCAGATGACTCATTAAGAACTTTTTCTCATGTGTCAAAGAAGTCTAGACAAGTAGAGATTAAAGTTTTCCTGTCCTATAATAATATATTATCTAACACACCCTTTTCATATTCCATTCTGTTATGAACAGTAAACAGTATAAAAGTAAACCCACAGCCCCAAAATTTGGATTTTATTTATTATCTCACTTGCTGTTGGAGGTTGTTTATTTTTGTTTATATCTTGAAATGGCATTATACTTATAGTTACGTGAAAGTTGTGTATTTGTGTATTCCTATTTGTTTTTAAATGTACTACAAGTTGTTTTTTTAACTGGTTATGTCACAGTTTAATACTAATGCCTCTATATGACCTACATAAGCAAACACAACTGGCTTTTTCTATATTGGTATTTTTAATGCCTGCCAGCGGGTCAGATTAGGTCACATTCCCCTAGAAATCAATTAAATGAGGCGATAGAAACGCCACGTATAGTTCCTTGTAGGGGCTTTAAATGGTTAATTTAGTTTAAGATGTAGGAGGATTTTCTCAACGCATAACAGAAAGATTAAACAAAACCACCAAATTTGGGGATTCATGGTGGACAGCAATGATATTACACATATGGTCTTTGTCTTTATATTTCCTCATGTGTCTATGAATATGCTTCGCCCTTCATCACTGCAGCCATTGCAGCACAAATGTGAGCATATGAAGAGTTTGTGTTTCTAGTTTATGACTTGAGAAGATTGGGTTCTGGGATGTGCTAAGATGTATCTGTAGAAGGAAAGAAAAAAGTTTTTGACAAGCTTGCAACTCGTAAAGCATTTCCTCAATGACTCTGGATCTTTTTATCCAAACAAATTCTGTTTTACAAGAGCCCAAATGGTTTGTTTCAATTTGACATCTTTTTTGTGCAAGTCCTCAGAAGAAAATATACTGTTACTGTTATATTTGTGACTTGAGTCATATAAAGCTTATTCTTTGTTTTTGTCATTTTGATTCACTGTTTCCATTAGGATCTCTGGTCCTTCAGGGAAGTTTAGTCATCTTGCTTCTGATTTAAAAAGCAAAGCCTTCAATGTTCAGGCAATTATTGCATGTGTATTCTTCATTCAATGTCAGACCACTCTTACAGACATCCTGGGGGGATTGGTTGGCTGATTATTGATTGAGTCTATTATTGTTTGTTTTTTTGTGGTTTCACACAAAAAGCAATTTTCACCACATTGTGTGTAAGACTCTTTTGATTATGGATTACAAACATATAATACATATGTATCATCAGTGACTCAGATCAATGCACAGAAGACAGAAATCATGGAACATGGAAACCTTTTGAACCTGTTTGATGAGGAAGGACCATGGCAGTGCAAAGGCAATAATGACTGAAATACTGAAATATTGAACACAATTTTTAAAAAGAGTCAACATTGATTTAGAACAAACAAAGAGGAAAATACTACAGGCTGAAAGGATGGCCCTGCCTCTACACAAACACAAAGGACAAAAAAGTCACTACAACAATCTAGTGTATCTAATTATAGATTGGGGGAAAAGTTCATAATTTCACTTTGTCAACACTTCCTCCACAACTTCAAAAAATAAAACAATTTTGCAGTTTTTTATGTGTTTAAACTGCATTTAAGAATTCATCAATCTTGTCAACTAATGAAAGGAATTTGCTAAGAAAAGACAGGTGCCATTCATCAGTTTGCCACGTGTCTCCCCCTCTTTCCTGTCTCTGTACATAGTTAACTCAATCACACGGCAGATGTGGGAATCTGCCTCATGATGGGAATGTTATTGAATAATTGGCACGCTCACCGTGGACACGGAGCAGTGGTCCAGGGTTTCATCAGCAAACAGCACAGTGTCTTTGATGAAAACGGCGCTGGCTCTCAGGACGAAGGAGGAGAACAGGTTGATGTGGATGTAGTTTCTGGTGCAGCGGAACTTTCTGAAAGAAGCAAAAACAGATGGAAAGGACAACAACATACATGAAAAACACTGCCTTTCAGTTAGAAAACATCAAGTAAAGAAGCATCCTATGCCTTCCTCCAACAGTTTATGTGACTTTGCCCAACAGTACTTTATAGATACTTTTTTTTGTATCTATAATCTTGGGGCAAGGGACATTTTTGTTCACAGACATTCATCCCCTTCAGGTAAAGAGTAAACTTCCTGTCCCACTGCTGCATCACTTTTTCATTGTAATTTTGTCAGCAAATCTCTACAGAGCCTCCAGGTGAATTTCACCCTCATTTGCACACAATTGTCAACTTTTGACCCCAGTCTAGGCTCTTTACTCCATAAATGTTGGCTGAGTAAGCATCCTAGTTCTTGTCCTTCATTGCCCTCTGTTTGTGTGTGTATCTGGGACAGTGTGTGCTGTCCTGGTCTTACCTGAAGGCTGTGAACACCACAATGGCCGTAATGAGGGAGATGAGCGAGGTGGCATAGCCCACAGTGTAAACCTGTCTGAATGTGGAGAGGTAACTCGTCTGGAGAGAGAAACAGAGAGTGGTCACATGTATGTATGGGAAATGGCTAGATGGAACTGGATCTGACTGGGATTGATATAACTACAGGTTGTTATTATTATTATTATTACATTTATTCTTGGAACAAAAGTATTACAAATGCATGTTGGCTTTGCACTAAACCAATGTTAATAATTGCACTGCTCACCAAGCTTTAATTGGCGGCTCACATGGCAGCTAATAATCATATCGTAATTCAGCCAATACACATACTTTCTAATATACTCAAAACAGCTACACAAATCATACACAAGATGGTAGTACGGCCTACAAACATGGGCCTGTCAAAACCTGCTCACACCTACTTTAACTCAATAGTGCAGTGTTGCCAGTTTTGGCAGCCTTGTGGAGCACCACAACAGCTAAAGTGCTGCTGGATGGCTCAATAAATAGTGGGCTTGTGAAAGACAATTAGATTGTACATGCTGCAGACTGTAGGCATCCAATCATTCTATGTATATTCAGGTTTTTTTTTTTTCAGAAACAGAACTTATGATGTAGTTATTTTTTGACTACTGGGAACGTATTCTGTTATTACCGGGTCTGTATGACCTACTTAGTAATAATCTGGACGGCTGTGGGAAATTTGGAGATATATGATACTGTACTCATTATTTAATTACTGGGGACCTATTCCAAGTACCAGACCATCCAGCTGATCAACTGATCAACTGGAGCTTTGCAGCATCTGACTAAGTAGGTCATACATACCCTGTAATAACAGAATATGTACCCAGTGGTTAAAAAATACTATGTAAGTTCTCTATTACCCCCTTATTCCATAACTTCACATCTGGTTCGACAGTACCTACATATATGTACTGGTACGTACTGTATTGTTACACCATTAGTACTAAAGATTACACTGTAACTACTTAATTACCTTTTTTTCTTTCTAAGGATGAGGAAGTTCGCCATTATCTGTATCTTTTCAATTAACTTAAACCTACAACTGTATTCGTAACTGTACTCAGAGTGGGCTCTGATGGTGCTCAGACTGGAAGCGGGTGAGAGACATTAATTTAAGCCTGAAATTGATATGGGTTGCTCAGACGTTAGTATAATTATAAGAAAATTAATAGAAACACAAGAGAAGAGAACTACTTACAGAAGGTTTTTTAAATAACAAGTTGCTACAAATATGAGATAGATATTGACACATTTTATCCAGATGATACTTGTAAAAAGAGCATTATCTGTACAGGTACTTCAGCTCAGTACTCGCTCAACTCTAGTTTTTAAATATTGCGACTGAACTGCTCACTTGTGCAGAAGTTAGTTGGCTATGGTCTCATGCTATTAAAAATTTTGTGTATGAAAACTGAAAATGGATCAATGGATTCTAATCAAACAAAGTTGCAAACCAGTTAGTCAGAGTAAAACAAGACAGATACAAGCCAAACACAATGACCATAGAAAATTTCAAGAAAAATGGAAAGAGGATGTTTTTTATTTGTCCTACATTCATGCGGTCCTTTGTGTTTAATATGAAACCAAACCCGTTCCTTTTTCAAGCAAAGTAACCTGGAGTACCATTTCCAAATCACACACCCAAAATTGCATGGTCTTTGATGTGTTGCAGTAAAAGTGTCTCTGCTGCTATTGACTGTGTCCTGTCGGTGTGGCTCTCATGGAAAAAATTATGAAGACCAAAACCTACAAACAAGTCTAAACTGAAAATGAAGCAGCGCGGGGGGAGAGTGGAGAGGAAACAGAAACAATATGAATAAGCTTAACTGATTGGCATGATTACAACAACATGTCTTTATACCTCAGATTCAGGCTCGCTGTCATCACTGAATGCACAGGCCTCCTCGTAGGGTGGATACATTTCTGACCAGCCGTCAGCAGTACAGTTCCTGTAAACAAACCCTGATGTGGGAGCAGACAGCAGAAATTCAAACTGGATTCAAGTGAACTGACCATTGCAAAGAGTTTCACAATACATCTTTGATTTAGAAGCTCAACCAATCTGCTCTTCTTCACTTTCTTCTTAATCTTCATCTTCATATTGTCTTAACTTGATCTTCTTGGAACAGGTAGTTTTATTAAAACATGCAGTATGTAATTTCTGCTGCTACAGTAATGAAGTTTGATGATGTGAAGTTGCGTGGGATGATGGGAGTTGTTGTCTTCCCCACCACTGCAGTCAGATTCACCCAGTTAGGATTCCTTCAATGTTCATCGCGCACAAGGTTTCTACAGGGAGTGGAATTACCCACAGAGGTCTCCTACTCTCCAAAACAATCATTAAAACCAGTAAAAACACTGAATAAAGCAGTTTCACGTCAAAAATTAGTGTTTATCTGACGCCGTTAGAAGAACGTCCTAGGGGGCCAATCTGCGCTAATGTTACCTCAGCTTGTATTTCTGATAACTTCTGATGACTTAAATCCTTCATTCAGTTAAAATATATATTTGAAAATTACCATGATCTAAAAAAAAAATTGTAAAAAGAGTATTATAGTAGTATAGACCACAATGCTGATGCATGTGCAAAGGGGACATGACACTATTGACAGACGACCAGTGAAACGCTTCCGAATAAAATCACAGATTACTCTGTATTTGAACAGTGTTAGTAACATAATGTTAGTACACAACTCAACACAATATATAACATAGGTCTAGTGTTAAATATTATAGTTTTAACTGTGATGTGAAATGCTGGTGTAAATTGCTGGTATTGTGTTGTACCTTATTCCTTTGCTTCAGGGTACATAAGTTATAGTCATAACATTTAATTTGTAAGATTCTCAATCGTTTTGATACATTCACACATAAAACCTCAAATCTTTTTCAATCTTCTTTAGGATTACCAGGTCTAGAAGGGAAAAAGGCAGCAACACTGTAATAGGAAGCTGTCATTCCTGTGCACTGAAATATCAGCACATTTGGACAACTTCACTGACATTTCCTCTCTTGGACCATTTCACTCCATTAGTGCTTTCAGTCAGAAAACATCTGACGCTTTCATGTCCTTCAATTCCACTGACATTTAGTCCTGGTGAATGTCCATTTGGAAACAGCAGGTGTCAGGAGGAGGTTGTCAGCTGGATCACTTTCTGTGCGGCTATGTTTGTGGTGGGATTGTTCAGCTAAGTCTGTATGCAGCAGGTAGTGCATGCTAGCATTAGCTGGACTGTTGGAACAAAGACACACAGAAATGCATGGCAGTGGGTTATTCCCCTTGTGCTGAGCAGATGGAGACTAATGCTGCCAAATGCACTGCTGAAAGCAAATGCTGTGGTCTGTTTGAGCGATCTGCAATTCAGATCATAATGAGCCATGATTCCCATCAAGGTAAGAAGGAAAGGACATTATTCCCTAATGATCTTGACCTTATCTTCCTTAATGATGCCATCATAATGACTGTTTGTAAGACAACATAAACAGCCCCACATTTTTTTTATTTACACTGTGTGTGTGCTTTTAGAGTGAAAGACAAAGGCTCCCATATTTAAAAAATGTATTAGCTGTCCTATAAACACTAATATACAGATGCAAACGATTAATAATGGATTCAAATGACTTATTACATAACTCTTTTGACACCTTAATTATTTGTGGAATGAATGAATACATTAATAAACACAACATAAATATATTATTTCAAAAAGGATATTAACTCTAAATATAAAACCTCTTTTACTCAACAACACTCTCACGACTACATTATTAAAACTTAAGAATATTTCGCTCTTGGGGTCATCAGCAGTATCTTTCTTGAAACACAAATCCTACAACAGCCCAAGAGGATGTCAGACTGTGACGTATGAACCCTGCAGACTAGATTTAATGTAATTTCTTCTGCCAGAAACTTCCCAGAGCATAATATATATTCTTGCCAACAAACATACATGAATAATTCATACTGTGCTCCTTCATCAGAGTGACTCCAGCCTGCATTAGCGCTGCAGATTATACAGTACAGATAAAAATAGTGAGTAGTAGTAGTGACAGTGCACCAGCAGAGAATGGGACTTCCATATTACCTTAACGAGTTTATTGATTATATGAATGGAATTGTTTGTGTGTGTGTGTGTGTGTGTGTGTGTGTGTGTGTGTTTGCTGGGATTGGGATTGACATGGAAACCAACCTTGGTTGCTGGAGAAATGCTGGAAGACTTCAGAGCAGGATACGTTGACCACTTGCCCGATTTCAGCTCTCAGCCAGCATCCGATATCGTCCCACTCTGTTTTACATCCTACAAACACATACAGAGGGTCAGTCAGTAAATGTGTTTACATCCGTTTTTATGCACATTTTCAGTCTGCACATAAAATGAGTTCTACTTGGCTAAAGTGGAAAAACAAATAAATGCCATATTTTCATCAGGTTCTTTATTAGTAGGTTTTGACTGCTGCTTTTTTAATTACACCCTGTTATTCTGCAGTGGTTTAATGGCCCCTAAATGGAAAACTCAAATCATATTACCAACGTCTTATATGTGTGCAGAGGGGAACCTGCATTTATTTTCAGATTTTCTGGATATCCGGTTTAAATTTGTGCTACACAGAAACCTAACTTTTCACATCCATCAATCTGTCTTCTATATAGAGGGAAATGTTAGTTTTATAACCAGCTTCTTAAATGAAATTATTATATTAAATATTAAAATATTTTTGACCACTAGAGACAGAGACAAACTCAATATGTCAATTTAACTAACATGACCATTCTTTAAAATTCACATTTCCAGCCAGTTGATTGATTAAGTTTGATATTTTAGGTCTGTTTTGTTCTTCATCAAGTCTTAAGCATGCTGCGCTCAATTTTCTTCACCACACTGTTGTTTACTTTGTCTCTTTGTCATTTCTGAGCAGGCAGAATATCACAACAATGAGTTAAATGGTGCTAAAAGCTGCAGTGTTCATTCTTAAGAGCTTTTGACACAGTGCAGAATTTCATTTTGATTCAATGTAAATATGATATACAACTCCCTCACATTTTAAAGGGCAGAGTGAACCCTTCAAATCACTAAGTAGAAACTACGGTGGCCACGAAACGCATAAAGAACTTGAACGCCCCTATTTAGAGCCAGTGTTTGGTTCGTCCCTACTGTAGAAACATGGAGGTTCAATATAACAGACTCCATGAATGGGGACATGCAGTGCCTGTAGATAAAAACAGCTCATTCTAAGGTAACAAAAACTTATTTTCAGGTGATTATACACTAATAAAAACATACCTACTATTAGATCCTCCTAAATGTTACACTTAATTTGCAAGATTGTAAAAAAAAATTATACAACTGCATTTATGAACAATTCATGTATACCTCATGTAAATGATTATTTCATAAGACATTTAGAAGAAGACAAACAACTGCATGAATTAGCTTCTGTATGATGATTCATGAACCTTTATATTTCAAAGACTGTACTGGGACTCTACAGATCAAACAGTCCATCATCTGGATATTTTTATGTTAAGATTTGTTGCTGAGAATCATTCCAGACACTCATCTCTACCAAATATCCTCTGAAGTCCTCGTGATTTTGATCCGGCAGACAAACCTGTCTTTAAAGTAAGAATATCCCCCAGGCTTTGTTTAATGTTACTTCCACGAGCTGCATACATATGTTGATTTCTGGTCACATTTCATTGTCTACAAAGAATGGATATGGATCAGATGTTATTCCGGTGACCTTTAAGTTATTCAAGACATTTCTGTGTTTTTCTCTCAGCCGCTCTACACATTCATAGCGGTTAGTGCTTCTTTCATATTTCGGTTGTGTAGAGTTCATACTCTGTCAGTCCTGTGTCATCACATTAATATCAGTTGATTAGTTCTGTCTGCTGGACTGAAGCTGTCACACGCATTTCTTCAGAGTAAAACATGGAGACACAAAAAGAGAGACATCAACCAATTTTCTTGCTGCTTCGGGCCCAGACTATAAAGCTTGTGAGTAAATGCTTTTCTGTTTCCTGAAATGTTGTTGTGTTGTCTACGGATAGCAAGGTTGGTCTGTCATGTATGTATTCCCATGACAACTGTATGGTTCCTGTCTCCTGTCTAGCGTCATCACCAGGTAAAAAAAAAAGCTAACTTTGTTTAATACTTTATGTACAAATGCCTGCACTGACATGAATATTATCCCTATGCTCTTTATGTTTATTGCTATTTAACAAATGTTAGCATGCTAGCATGCTAAACTAAAATGGTGATTATGGTGATGATGTGAAACTTGCTAAACCATTGGTTCCCAACATAGGGATCGGCCCCTCCAAAGGACCACCAGATAGATTTGACAGCTTTTGAGATGATTGATGGGAGAGGAAAGAAGAAAAAAAATCTAATATATAAAGATAATGGATAATGTGACCCCCTTGGCCCTCAGACACTTATTTAAATGAGTTTATAATGGAAATGTCTCTTTATTAAAACAGCTAACAACTCATAGATATCTGAAATGTGACAACGTAGACGCTGTGTCTTTGTTAGAGGCCACAAGCCGAAAAGGTTGTGAACTATATAAACAGTCAATGTTTGAGAACCACTGTGCTAAACTATTACATTGTCATTGTAAGCATGTTAGCATTTCGCTCAAAACACTGCACTACAGAGCTGCTGGCATGACTGTAAACTTTTATTCTTGTTTGAAATGTTTTCTGCAAACAATGCAAGTGTGTGTGTTTATTTAATTTTGTGTTTTGCATATCAGGACAAACCCCTGGATGATCCAAAGAATATTTTCAGTTTATAATGGGGAGCAGCCAGTTTATGCATTCACATAAGCAGCTTAAACAGACGATTTCTTTTCCTACAGAAAAGCACAATTATTGTGTTATTGTGATCCGGCACTGTTCTGCATCAGTCAAGTGCTTCATACAGTGTTCCTGAGACGCTCTATGAAATTCAAATAGTCATGCACTCCAGCAAAAGAATGATGAGTTTCTCACAGCATCACAGACCTCCTGCTGTCATATTTATTGGAAACATTTAGTCTCACCTCGCCTTCATCGGCACAAATTCACCCACATCAACCACAGAAACTACAGTACATACAGGTGACCTGATAACCTACTCACATACTTCTTCTCATGTAATCAAAAAAGGATATTTCTGTTAATCCTGGCTTAATAAATCTTTACCAGTGCATACAACCAGCAGAAAGGTTTTATCTGCAGTCCAACGGTGTTTCTGTAAATGCATTGCATTAAAAGCTTTTGCTTAATGTCACACATGCCAAGATTTTCCATCTACTGTCCATATTCTAAATAAATCTCAGATTACTTACGGGTATATAATGGACTAATTAACATATCAAGAAGGACATGGTCTCAGGAGGCGAGGTGACAGGTTTGACAAAAAGGGAACAAATTATAATTAATAGAGTTATTCCACTCTGATACATATGAATCACAGTGATAGGCCTTAGTGTGTGGTGCTGCAAATATATGGAGCCAATTCCATTCACAAGCAGTACATGTCAACAGAGCTGATGGTTTCTTTTTTTTTCCTTTTTTTTTTTTACAATATAATGCAGTGACTTTTTTCATTTATCCCCAGGGCGGAAGTGAGACTTAAAATAAATGTCAAATACGTTTTTAGCAAGAAATCTCTTCCCTTAAAAAGTTTAAACGCCTCAGGCACTCTAAGTTTCGAGGAACAAAATGTTTCAAAGAGCTGGGAGTGATTTCTGACTAAAACATAAACACAGTCTGCCTGCATGTAAAATGTACTCTGAGTGTCGCCGAGCCACATTTAGTGCATTTATTTATTCATGTTTATTTGTCTATATATTTAACATTTTCTTGATTAGAGTGTGGCAAAACTCAATTTTAATGTAAAGCACAAATTGGAACAGAAATTAACCAATAATGTCAATAACTGTAATATTAAAGGGACACTTCACCCATTTGCATTAAGCTTTGTATCATTAGAACCCCAGTCATATTTTTGAATGGTCGTGCATCATTCCCTCACTTTCCCTGAGAGGGGAGAAATAAGGATTTTAGTGTTGCACTTCCTGCTTCCAATGATGTAAAAATCGTCATTTTGCATCATTGGAAGCAGGAAGTCTCATATCTCTGTAGAGGGGGTGAGACTACAAACACTACTTCCTCATTTTTTTTTCACTCACGCTACAGACCTATTACAGATCAATGGGTGGGACTTGCAGAAACTAAAAAATAGTTCGGAAGCTAAGCGGAGGCGCTGGCGATGTCAGACTATGGTAATCAATCTAATATGGAAGAAATTTCGTATGATGATGTTCGTGGCTACCTTTATGAGCCGCAATATAGCGAGCAGCAGCTGAGGCTTCTGCAGCCGAAGCTGAGGACCTGCCTGTTGCGGACGAGGAGCCCGGACTGGCTCGAGCTGGGGCGGACTGCTGGTGCCTGTGCTCTCGCTGTGCGCCTACGGACACACGGACGTCTGACTGTAAAGTGAGTGTTTCTATTTTCTGTCTTATAACAACGTGGCATGTATGTACACAATTTGTTCAAGTATTATCACAAAGTTATTCCCGGTTAATACGTAACGTCAGCCAACTGAACTAACGTTACCTTCTTTACTGCACAAACAGCTTGTGGCACGCTAAAAACAAAGACCATGCATCGCTAACTGTGTGCTCAATGTCTTGTAGACAATATCGCCTAACAGCCTTTCTGGAATGGGTCCTGCAAGGCGAGAGATTGGGTCGAGGCGTCGTTTTACCCGCTTATGTGGTGCAGGCTATCCGACAGAAATATCCAGCTCCAGATGGCCAGTGCTGCGGGCACCAAGGAGTTGAGGACGCTCAGGAGGAACTATAACTGTCATTGTTAACATATTTATTTTTGTTGTTGTTGATATATTTCTGTAAATAAATGGTTTACATTCACGTTGTTGTAGTCCTTGATAGTGTTAGTGGGAGCGGCTTGCGGAGCTGTGCATTGTGGGAGTTGTTGTCTTTAATACAAATGCGCCCTAAAGTCACTTTCTGTCTTTTCTCGGTCAAATAGGCACCAAATTCAAAATGTATGTTACATTTCAACTACATATATAACCTACTTTCAATAAATATTAATGTTTCCACGGGTGAAATGCTCCTTTAAACCACCTTTTGATGTAAATGTCTTAGAACATGTAATGGCTCACTGGAAGGTACTTTAGCCATCAATGTTTTTATTATAAAAAGACTAAAGTTTAATAAGACCTTATTATCCTTTAACTCAACAAAACGCAACATAAAAAGTTTTATTGTTCAAAAGTAT